TAAAGAAGCGGGCAGAGGAAAATCTATCCGACCGCAAAATAAACGATGAGGTCTGGCCCTTGGCAATGGAAGCAGCAGCGTAGTTCCCATAAAAACAAATATTTGCAGCAGTGATAAATAGTATGTATTACAACCGCTATCAGATATTGTAATTTCTTGTTTCGTTGGAATTTGCCCTGGCGACGCCGCAGCGGGGGGAGCGATCCGAGACTCGGCAAAGCCACAGGAGGCAGATTCACATTCCGGTTTCCATATTGGCCCAGGAGCAGCTGATTTAAATAATCAATATTTTAAAGCTCGTTTTGCATTCCCGCTATTTGCTGAAAGACAAGCAGGTTTTTGGGTAGCAGTAAACTCTAGACCACGCTTAATTTGCACCTTAATGCAGCTTTTACCTCCAAACTTCGCAACCTTCTCTTTGCCATTCAGACAGAAAGGCTGCTTTTTATTCATATTTCAGTAGTTATATCTATTGCAAAACACAATCTAAAATACCGGTGCTAAACACCCCTTCTCTCACTCTATAATCCGAGAAAATCAATGACCACAGAGGAGGGCTGACACGGGTCTACCCCCTCTCTCAAAGAATCCCCATTTTGCAGTAACCCACAGGTACAATTAACGCTAGAAATAATTATTGCAGTAACCCCAGAAATGAGCCTCGAAGTCCTCTAGACTTTGGGGATTTAACACAGCTCTACTGATATTTTCAGTGATTCTATTGTGTCTGGTGAGCACGAGTAGAACTGCATGTATCTAGTCTGCAGATACCAAAAATGAACATTTTTCTGAAGCCGTGGGTAGAGTTTAAGGCTGGAATGATGCGATCGACGACAGCCCGTGTTCTGTTATCTCTGGTGGTAACCTCCAAACAGAAAGAGAGGCATCCAGGGGGGTCACTGCAGCAAAAACAATCCCAGGGACTGTCTAGGATGCCAAATCCTATAGACTCAACAAGGAAAAAGCCCCTGGATATTCCGGGGTGGATTGGTTCCTCTGTTCCAGGGAAACAAAAGTTGCCGATAGGGTTTCCGGACAGCTCTGAACCAGAGTTCAGAGTCACCTGGGTGTGCAGGCCCCTTCTTTTCCAGGGAAAGCATCCCGCCTAAGACACACCCCTCACACCGGTGCATGGACTGGGGTGGCAAACTGCTGGGCTTGCATGAACAGGCCCTATCATACAGCATGACACTGCACGAACTCACGCTCGTCTCCGCAGTGAGCGAGGCCTGCCGGAAAAATAAAGAAACAGAAGTGAATCAGCCCCGGTCCCGGGGACTTGCATCACCTGGAACTGCGGCTGACTCACCGCCGAGCCTCGGTGAACCCACCAGATCCATCACCAAAAGGGAAGGGATGAACTGCCGCTCTGACACTCGCCTCAGCCGCCGCTTCCGCGTGTCCGAAGGAGGCAATCGCCACCATCAAAATGTGTGCCAAGCCCCCGGCTCCTGCTGACGCCTCAAATAGCATTCCTGTGACCTGGAAAGGGCTCTCTGCTGACTCTACACCCAACGCACAAAAAAGCTGCCTGCGAAACACGCTCGCGGCCTTTGGAAAAATCAGGGTTTTGCAAATGCAGAGGCTTTATGCAAAGATCCCGCTGGTCAAAAGCCAGGCGATTTTGCCAAAAGTCAACAATACCAATTCCCAGATAATGCAGATTGGACACCTCAAGCCTCAAATTGCTTGCCATTCGTTTGGGGTTGCAGAAAATAACCGCTGGGAAAATGTTTGCCCTTGAGATAGAAGGGAGCCAGTTCTTTGGCTCCCCAGAGTCCCAAGGCTGACTCTCTTTATTAAAAAGGGAGCTGGACTTTCACCAGGAAGCTCCCAAACCAGCGCCCGGGGGGACCAAGGCTTAAGCACTGCTGGAATGAGCCAGGGCTAAGCCCAAAGGAAGCAAAGACCAGTGAGACAGCAGAGCCAGGAGGAGTTACACACAGAATCACAGAATGTTCAAGGTTGGAAGGGACCTCCACAGATCATCTAGTCCAACCTGCCTGCTCAAGCAGGCACACCTACAGCATGTGGCACAGGGTGGCATCCAGTTAGGACCCTCTGGGGTTACGTGAGTGGATCCGACGGATGCAGCACGGCAGGGAACCACTGCCTTTGGCTTGTGCAGTGACAGCACTGGAAAGGTGGAAGCGGCGGTGGAGACGCTGAAAGCTCCACCGAGGCCTGGGCTTCACTTCGCAGCAACAGGAGCCGCACGTTACGCCTTCTGAATCTCAAAGAGCTGATCATATAGGCATATAATTTCTGGAGACAAGTCTAAGCCATGAACAGGACATCACGTCAGCAGAAGAGCAGGACAGCTTCTTCCTCGAGTCATCCAGCAGATGTTGGCCGCACGCAGCATGCCAGCTAAGAGCCCTTTTCCTCTTGAAGCTCAGAAGCTGCTCATCTCCACTGCCCTGGGTGCATTTGGCAGTCCGTACTTACCTCCTCTGGCCATCGCTAACGCAGAGGGGCTGAGGCGGGGCGGCGGCACCGCCAGCAGCCCGTCCTGCTGGAGCAAACAGGCCTGTCCCGGCGGCGAGGAACGAACCCTCGCTGCTGGAGCACGCCAGGGAATGTGCGGCGGGCCGCGCCTGGCGCAGCAAACACCTCCAAGGCGCTGCCTAAGGGCACGCTGCCCTGGCAAGCGGGTCAAGAAGAGCTCGGCTTTACCCTCCACAAAGCGAAATGTCACTCTCCAACCCTTCTGCTGTGCTAGAAATAGCGCCAAAAGCCTTAGAAGAGCAGACCTGCAAACCAACTCTGTTGGCCAAGGGTCTTGCTCTCAAGAACGCTCTCCCTCAGGAGAGCTGAGCACAGAAATAGCTGCATGTTTTACCTGGGCTTTTGCTAGCAAGAGCAAACCCTGGTGTTGTTAAGACTTGAGCTTCAGGGGTCCAGCACCCACATCTGGCAGGGGGCACACGCAGCGTTTCCGATGGTGCAGGCAGGATCCAGGGCCACAACAAACCCATCGACAAACGCATCCGCTGCAGGCACCAGAGCAGCTGTAACCTCTCTGCTTGCTGACACAGAGGCTGTAAAAGAGAAGAGAAACCCTTGGAAGAGAAGTTTATCGAGGCAGCAAAAGACGGTATTACTGTGAGCACGCAAGCCCAGCAAACGGCTCCAGCGGCCAGGAGGGGAAGGGTGTTTATAGCCAGGCCGGGCTGCCGCGCGCGATGCATGACAGCGCCCCGATGCTTGCCCAGAGGAAGATGGATCGTGCGGATGCTGATGCAAAGTCCAGGAATAGCTAAGGGGATTCCAGGAGGAAGCCTTCCTCTGTGCCTGCCTTTCTGAGGAAGGGTCAAAACCAGCAGTGCAAAGACCGCAGAAAGGGCCGGCTTGACCATGTCCATGAAGACTCTACTGTAGCTACTGGCAAGTTCTACCAGACATAGACCCAGTCGTTACACAGGCTCCAGCTTTGGCAACCCGATGGCTCTTGAGTTCATCTCTGATGCTGATATTCCTCCTGTGGATCCAACCTGGATCTTGCTATGCTCCCCATGGCTCGAAGGTGGCTGGAAACCACCTGGAAGGTGGCTGGACACCAGAAGCTGCCACAGGAGATGAGGTGGAGACGCAGGATGTCCTCACCGGCACCCAAAGCACTGCAGCCCACAGGAACCAGGGGCTGGCCGGGCTGGCTCAGACCATCCCATGCTGATGCACGTACCAGACTGGCCACATTTCAGAGGATGTGGGTCCCCAGAGTGGAGGTGGCTGCTTTTCTCCCTAGGTGGATGTTCCGGGACTGGGTTGCTCTGGCGATTGAGCTGGGTGACAAGGGAACGTGTGCCCTGCACGTCCTCGAGGCGCTAACCTGGCAGCAACGCACGCGCACGTCTGCCACAGCTTGGAAGAGGCCACGGCCACCTCTGTGGTGCTGAATGGGCAATAGCCTCGGGCTCACAGACATCTACAGAACCAACAGACAGGTGAATCATCAGGCGAAGAAATACTGAATACCCCCCCCACAAATAATGTTATAAAATCATTTTCATTTAAAGGATCAAAAAAACTATAGGTGATAAACTGAACTGGTCACTGACACTTTCAGAAGTCATTTCTCCTCATATCTCTGTATATGTAAGTAAGGAGCCTTGAAGTAACGACATAAATTACTCCCATCAAAATGGGCTTAATATTTCAACCAATGCTGTCTCCAAATGTTCCACAAGTTCTTCACTGCGATTTGATTTTTGTTTCCTTCAAATCTTGAGCAGATGTGAACTCCTTTGCCTCAATTTATTTAATACAAGTACCTGGATGGATTACCAAAAGGGCGGGCTATACTGTAACTTGCTCATTTCAAATGTGAAGTATGGTTTTAAAAGCAACGTGACCCTTTCCAGGCGTCTCAGTTAAACAGAAGTTCTTATCCTTTCTCCAAAGTTGTCCAGAATTTACAGCATATTGTTGACCAATGGACATTCAACTCTGGGACAAACCAGTATCGCTAACCTAGCATGAAATTCAGGCTACATTCTGTATCCACTTTAAAACATAACTGCCAGTGACTAACATATTTATGATAAGTTAGCCCTATTGGCTAGTCTGCTGCTCCTAGGATTTTATTTTGCCTGGGATTCTCTAAGGTTTATCCAGAAAACAGGGAGTTTAATTGCACAAACTCGGAGAGGGGCAGAGCTCTCCACCTTCCTAGAAGGACGTGCAAACGTCGCTATCACACGCGCCTCCCGGGCTCATCTAAAGGAGTCGAAGACCAGGAAGGAAATAACACCGAGAGAAACACTCTGGGGTGTCGCTCTGGGCTGGACAGAGACTCGGAGAGAACAAGAGAAATGCTCAGATTTACTTGTTCCAATCAACAGCAGCAACTAAAGTTTATTGATTTCTGTTTCAGCAACTAAAAAATCCATGCAAACATTTTTATATCATACGGACAAAGCTATCCCATATTTAACCTTCTGATGAAGTAACTAGTGCAGGATCTTCTCACAGTCTCTGTGATTTAGTTATGAATTATTACAATAGAGCCCACTTTAAAAATATATATAAACTAAATGCAAAGAGTTTATCCAATTATTTAGCTCTTCTATTGTATCAAAGTATCTAAAGAGACTCAAAAAAATAATCCAGCATTAAAATATAAATGTTAGCTACAAAAATAGCTGGACACACTCTCAGCCACCGTCTCTCAACTGCTTCCTTTATATCCACTCTAAAACCATTTCCAACACACTAATCACATCTATTCAGAAGAAAGTAAAATTATATGATCTCAAAATATTTTCATTAGAAAAACAGTCTTTTAACAACTGCTTGCCCTCTTCCATCTAATTATATACTCTTAAAGACCAAATATTCAGTCAGTATGCAGAAATAACTCTAGCCTGTAATAAGCACAAAACACCAGATAAGACTTCTTATGAAAAGCAAGGATGCTCTTTGCCCCAATGAGGAACACTGCTCAAAACTGCATTCAATTTGTAAACCCTCAATATACAAACACCAAAGTCTTAGTAATTCTGTATCAGCAGCTCCTTACAAATAAGTCTGTCTGCAAGATCTCAACCTGCTGCATAACGGGGCTAGAATTTTCTCCAAGATACTCTACATAACAGCCAAGATGGTCAAAATAACTGCCCTTTTCAGCAGCTCTCCCTCAAATCCCTACTCGTGTTAGCTGAGTAATCGCCAGCAACATCCCACAGCTCTGCCAGGAAAAGGTTAACTCTCTGGAATGCTTCTGGGACCAACAGTCCACTTCAGAAAATAATGAACTGAACAATATAACCAATCACGACATCTGTCTAAGAATAGCATAGAAACAATAAGTTTAAAGGTTACTCAAATCAGAGGGATAGATCTTTTTTTTAATCTGTGTACTTATCACACTTTTTGTATGCAAAGACTGATTATTAAGTGCAAGGAAAGCCCCAGACTGGCTGGTTTGTTACTGTCATGATCCGATCTTCTCCATATTCAATCAAGTTTTCAAAAAAAGATTTCGAGTACAAAGGAGCAGCTCTCTAAAGCACAAATGAAAACTATAGTGATTTATGCTTTTCCGAAAACAAGCTCGAGGTCATGATTACACTAAGGACACAGATGCGAGGGGATTTTCCAACTTCCAAGCAGGAGGCAGCAAACATGGTGCTACGATCCAAGGGCACAGGTAAATGAGCAAGGAAGGCAACTATGTGATGGCTGCACAGCGTCCTCTCCAATCCTGCAAGCCCTTCTAGAAAGTCTACATCTCCCTCTTCTTTACTCATGTTCTTCTCACAGGGCTTGGTCTCAGAAACCTTCCATGCCTGTAAGGGCAACTTGAGCCAGCTTCTTAAACGTATGAGCTCTTCATCCCGACTCATCATCCACTTCTGCTTCTGAGAAGCTCCTCATCATGACACCTGCATCTCGAGAAGCAAAACAGGAAACATCACAGGCAGGAAGCAAGGAAAGACGAACAGCAATACGCCTCGGTGTCTAACAAAATCCCAACTTTAAATCCAGTTTGCTTAGATCTACACCTCACCACGCTAGGTACACAATACCCCAACCTACAGCCAGAGCTGGGGTAACCAATGACACCTCCTGACGAGCAGAAATCCTGTACCAGTCTCACATCCCATGGAATGTAGATCATCAGATGCTTATTGCACACGGGGTGATGGGCCCTGTTTTAGGGACAACAACGGAGCACGAAGCCAGCAGCAGCCCTCATGCCACAACACAAAGACACCTCAGCACAATCTAGTCACCTTGTGTCCACACGAGCAGCCCAAGCGACGTCTTTGCCTCAGCGCTGAGCAAGGGGGTGCGAGCGCCACAGTCTCCGCAGCGCCCTTAGTCACGACACCTCCGGGGCAAACAGGCGGGCACCAAACCTGCTGGGCAAGGCCTCCCTTCCTGCCAGGCTAAGGCCATCTCTAAATCATAGAATTATATGATTTTAAATCATCACCAAAGCCTCTTCCCCGGCCCGACCTCTTATCAGCAGCCACCACAAAGTCGCAGACTTCACCTCCCACCCCGAACTCTGGTGGGAAACGACGCGACTGGCTGCACTTTGCTCTTGAGGACCGCGAGTCAGTCCCATGTCAACCCCTCCTCGTGCCACCAACGTAACCTCCATTCCCTTAGACCTGCAACAAGGGGTGAGAGGTGTGTTCCCACCCCGAAGGCACTTGCAACACAAGCTCTCCTGTAAGCCCGGCTCTCAGTGACGCTGCCTATTCCCGAGAAACGTGTAATTCCCTGCTCAGGAAAGACAAGAATCACGAGATTAGTCCTAAGCTCCACAAACAAACTGGGTGCCATTAATTAATTATTGACATCTTCAGCCTCTTATCAGATGATTGCACTTGGTGCATACACAACACAGATTACAAGACTCCCAGACACCCACTGCTGCATGCAGAGAACTGCAGAAAAAGGTTAGCAATTGCACTTGGACCCAGAGGCCAAGAAGATCGGACGCTGCCCGTCACTCACCGCCCAAACCAATGGAGGAATTTCCAGTTGTCTTCTGAAGAGACAATTTACTGATACTCTAATCTTCACAGCAGCCAACGCTGGCAGGAGACCTTGGTAACTCCACAATAAAGCACAAAAGCTCCTTGGAGCGTTAACTCAGCTATCAAATGTTGGCACATAAGTCTCCTATGTAGCTCACCGTCACTGGTTTGGCTGCTCCAGAGCTACTTTTACTCCCAAGGAGCAACAGAGAGACGCTCCTATGTGTCAGCCACAGCCCTGTCCTTACATTGGCTGCTACTGGAGTGTGGACAGGCATCCTCCGATTTAACTAAAATGTCTAAAGTTATCATTTTTTTCACTAAAATGCACATTGCAGCACAAGCCGCTTCAGAAACACCCAAGAAAAAAGGGTAATTCAGGCAAAAAAACTCCTTCCTGACCTTACCAATTAGCATGAAGGTTTATATCCTTCACTAATTTTTTATCCTATTCAACTGCAACTCTAGATATTATCTCTCTATATTTAAGTGTGTGTGTATATATATAAATATATGTGTGTGTGTGTGTGTGTGTATATATATATAATTTTTTTTTTTTTTGGACAAGGGTTGTGCTCTCAGCATCTCCCAGAGATAGATGTGATCCCTGCAGGTTCCTCCACACCAGCCAGGGAGCATGTGTTGTAACCTGGGGCCGGCTCGTGGAGCGCTCACAGGGATCATTACATCAAGTGCCTGGGAAGGACCCGCTGCCATTAGTCACTGCCACTCCTGCTCAGCCAGCGCTTGCAAGAGGAATGGCAGGTTTAATGTCACATCATCATCATTCAACGCGGGCCTGGTGGAAAAAAACAAAAGATTACAGCCGTGTATACAAGCAGCAGACTAAGAAAGGAAACTATTAATGCAAACTGGAGGTTCTAGATTCTCTCGGCTTGCAAAAAAAGTCACCCTTTCAATAACTGTTTGGGCTGTATTTTTTCTCTCCCAGCCTTGGAGCTAACTTTTCAGACCCTAGACTACAGGTTCTTAGTCCTCAAGGCTTTAGGAGAGGTCTGGTTGGAAATTTTTACAGTATCTGTGAGAAACACCACACAGATACGTGTGTTTTTTACCATGAGGGTCTTGATCAAGGGTTTCAAAGTGGTGAATGATGGCAGCAGAGTGCTCCTCTGCCTCAGCTAAGAAGGAATTGCAGCATTCTTCTGCCTCTTTAGCAGGATCTTCTGGCAAGGAACCAGTCAAGACAAAAACTCTCTCCCAGCCTATGGTCTTCAAACAAATGGAATCTGTTTATCACATATCGATGGAGTGAATAAAAATCACACATCTCTCAACGACAGCTAAATTACCACATCACCTCCATGTCCCTTCCAAAACCCTTTCCCATTCTTCTTGCTCCCACATCTGTAAGGAAGACTTATAAAATCCAGTCCCAAATCAGAAACGGGCCCAGTCCTTGTCCAATGCTCTTGAGCAACCAGCTCAAAGAGCGGCCCAAGCCACAAGCCTCCGAGCACTGCCCTAGCAATCGAGTGGTTGCATCTGGCATTTGCTGAGGCTGAAAGGGAAGGCAGTAATCACAGAGAACAATTCTCCCATTGGCAATGGCAAAAAAACCATCTTAAAAGCCCCAAGTGCAACACTTTCCCCACTTTGGGGTCGTTACTAACTTCAAAGGGAAAAGGGGACGAGATTCTTCAGCTGTCACACACACAAAAAAGAACTGACTTGGCAAGGAAATATTTTAATAGAGTCAACAGAGGTGGCTTGGGCTGCTAAAATTCTCAATCCATTGAGCTAAAAAGGCAAGCGGTATCTATACATTGCCTAAGAAAACATCCACTGGCCAGTGAGAGAGCACGTGAACATAGTTCTGTTTGGGACGAAGAACATCTCTCCTTCCAGCCTTCCACCTCCAAAGAAAAATGACTTTCCCCTTCTGTCAGGCCACTCTTTCTTTGCTACTGCAGTATAAAGAAGTTAGATGCCTTCAACGATCACTCCGTAACGCCCACCAAAGCTATGGATAACAATCCTTTTATTTCCTTCCGAATTTTTCAGTGGATAAAAGAGGGTCCTGCTCTGTTTTTCAAACCGGAGTCCCATGAGTTAGCGCTAATATTGGAGGTGCCGCTACACGAGCGATGGTAAAACAGAGCAGTTCAAATATACCGAACGCGCTATGCTGGGTAAAGTTCATCGCAGCTGTTCTATTCACAGAAAGACATCTGAGAAAAGCGCCATAAATAACAGGATCACATGGATCCTCCCGTTGCACAACCAACGGACCTCTTTCCTGTTCAGGAATTTATGCTTCACACCCTATGCCGTCAGTCAAAAGAATATTACAAGCTCCGTTCTCAGGATGATCCAGATGATATTTTGGTAAGGAACACAGCCCTCCTGCTGGCCAATTTTTTTTTTTTTTTTTTTTTTTTAATATTCTTTCTATTCTATTAGAAACTAATGGGAAAATGTTTGGAAAACCTTGTCTGAACTGCATGCTTCATCAGTAGGAAATGAAGCTGTGCCACCACACTGGCCTCTTACCTGTGAGTCTAGCACCAGGTTATAACCACTAGTTACCTACTAGTTATCTGGTCTAACACTAGGTAAATGCACGAGTACGGCCGCCCGGCAGAGGCCGAAGGGCACAACTTCCACGCAGATTCGGCATCTGTTTTTATTCATACGTTCAAATGCAGGTTATTTAACGCCACTTCCAACAAATTCCTAATTTTCCAACAATTCCTTTCAATGCTACACTAAAATGAAACCTGCTTTTTCTAAGCATCTCATCTATAGGCCTCTGAAGGGGAGAACCACTCTTCAAAGCAGTGTCTAGTTGCAATTGTAGAAGAAGCCACAGTGCCATTTTATTAAAAAATGATATTTTTCCCCCATTTTCTTGGAGTTTTGCCACAAGTTGCCTTTGAGGGCTTGGTTCAGAAATTCCAAATTGAGTTTATTGTTTTTTCCTCCTGGAGAACTAGCTCCTTTTAGCAATGCTATTCATCTTGGAGCTCGGAGGTGTTTTTCTTCAAGCAACGCCCAGCGTCTCGATACCCCATAAAAAGACGAGGAATTATTTTTACTGAAGCAACACCCAAAGTTCAGACATTCCACGCAAAACCCGAGCAGGGCGCTTTCATTCTTAGAAAGGCTCCCGGCCTTTGCATCGAAAACACTGATTCCACCAAGGAGTTTTATCAGCGCTACGATTTCCCCTGTGCAGAAAAGCGGAGCCTTTTGCTCTTCGTATGATGCCCTTTTCCACCCTCGCTGTCTTCCAGTGAGGAAAAAAGAGCAGCAACCTCCAACCCCCTCCTTTGTGCTGCTCATGAGATACTCACGTTGCCTTTGGCGGGGTTCACGCCAAAAACCCACGTTCACATTCACTACCTGCCTCTTCACTTCACATTCACTAACCTGCCTCTTAGACGGGCTCCTGCTGACCTCGGCGAGAGCAATTTCTGGCAGAGCTCGAGGCACGAAGCGCCCTCCTGGGCTCCTGGCAAGAGGGCTGCAAAGGGAAGGCTCTCCCCTGCGTCCCGCGGGGCGCGCGGCGGCTGCTCCCGTGGCGGCAGCCCTGTCTCGGGGCCAGGGCCGAGCGCGGCGTTTTCATCCGCGCGCCCACGTCAGCCAGCGAGGAGGCCACGTCACGGCGGGTCCCCGACGCCTTCGGAGGCCAAAGGGAATGGCTTTTGGTCAGGAGCGGGGGCAATTGTGGCCGAGGAGGGCACTATGTCAGCAACACGACTGCTCTTAAGGCGTAACAGGCCAAAGACATCATGGGGTTAATAACACGTTTCCCAGCTTCTTCCCCATGGAAGGCCGCACGTAGTCCCAATTTTCAACCTCTTTAATGTAGAAACCAGGGCCGGGTCGAGATCTTCTCGCTTCCGCTGCAGCAGAGGTCAGGCACGAGCAGACCCACCTTTCCCTCCGCCGCGTGTGTAATTTCAGCTTGCCCAACTCCTGCCTTCGGGAGCACTTTCAAAGGGATCGCCAGGCTCGCGGAAGCGGAGCCGCCGTGAGTAAGTGCCCAGGTAACAGGGACACATTCCGGAGGCCTGCGTTGTTGCCGGGCTTTGGGCCAAGGCTGCTTAATCACCGGGGCAAAACCCAAGCCGGGGAGAGACGCAGCGGGCGAGAACGGTCCCGACGAAGGGGGTCGCGCCGCGGCAGGCGAGCTGTGCTGCCAACCACCCTCGGATGAATCCATGAGGAGGCCTCTCCGTTCCCGAAGCGTCGACCGTTGTCAGCGGCACAAGCCGAACAGCTCCTGCTGTGGCTCTTGCAGCGAGTTAGGCCGGTTTGGAAGTGAAGTGTAGTGAAATTCCCGAGCGCTACGGCCAGGTTGTGGCAGTAGAGGCTGCCTTCTCACCTGGCCCGGGCTGGCTCTGTCCAGCTCACGCTATCTGGGCGCCTAACGCTGGCGGCAGCGAAACCTGAAGTGTTCTGGGCAAAGCAAAGGAGATTTTCTGCAAAAAAACACAATCTCTGCAAAGTCTTCAGATTACAGAGCTGCTGATGTCTTCAGCTATCAACGCAGCTACGCTCCCAACACTCCCATTTATCATCTTCTAGAGCCTTCTCAGGAAACGTTTTCCGGGAATGTACGACGCTCTGTTCAAAAGCTTGGATGTTCTGTGCAGCACTGAGTAAAACCTAGCCAGCTACAGCTTAATTATGAGCACCAAGATGACTTTTCCATCACTTAATAGATTATAATCTCCTTATAAAAACGTATAAAGCCTGGTTTATTATTATAAACAATACACATAATAACGTGAGATCAGAGCATCATGGCTGTAACCCCATTTGAAGGCCAGCAGCGCCCACGGGGACAACACACTGGTCTGATTTTCAAGAACATACAACTTAAAGCAGAGAGCAAATACCCAACGTCTTCAGGTAGCTTACAGCCACAGAGGTTTAGGCATAGTAAACAGTGCTACCCAGCTCCTGGTTTTAGCTCTTCCCTCGATATTCCCAACTTTTCTAAAGAGCTAAGCACCCCGGCCCTTGCCTTTGCTTCCCTGTTAGCTACTGAGCACCATTTAAATGTTCACAGCCACCACTCTGAAACAACTGATTTCAGCAGAAGAAAACCACACAACCGACTGGAAAACCTTCCCTTAAACGCTTTGTGCGACAAGGTACCTTTAAATCTAGATATCAAAATAGCTTAATAGCCTTTAAATAGCACCAGGCGAGCTAAAAAGAAAGGCGGGGAGGGAACAAGAAAGAAAAATATTTGCCTCTGTGCAGCAATCTTTCTAAAATAAGTACAGCTGAGGAGAACTTTGGCACATCTTTCTAAATGTCACAAGCTTCCCCCTTGGCGACCTTCATAACCGAGTGGGAACGGAGTTCCATGAAAGTTATTATGAGAAGCGGGTTTCGTAGGCGCTTCACACTGACAAGGACGAACGACATAACAGTAGTAATAGCAGAAGGTTTTGTGCTTCTGCTCTACACGTCTCAGGCCTTTGCTTCTGGGCGCAGTCTTTTACCGAGACGAAAGAAAACCCTTCCGTATGCTGTGCAACCTGCGAGTGAACAGGTAGGGAGCCGCTGTGGAAACGGTGGGGCTGAAGGGCGAGGGACGAGCCGCCACGCAGGGCCGCGAGGCGCCTCCTGCCCCGAAGCGCCACTCGATGCGGGTCAACGCGAAACGCCGAGCCCCTCCGCGGGGCAGGACCCCGCGGGCCAGGGGAGCGGCGGGCGCCGATGGCGGCTACAGCGGCGGCCGGGGAAGCCCCCGCTTCTCCCGGGGCGCCCTCAGAGCGGGGGGCGGCCCCTGGGGGCGCCTTCACCCTCCTCCTCCTCCTCCTCGCACGCGCGCGCGCCCCAACGGCCGCCGCGCGCCCCAACGGCCGCCGCGCGCCCCAACGGCCGCCGCGCGGGGCGTGGCGCGAGGGCGGGGCGCCCCCCCGCCCCCTCCCTCCGCACGTGCCCGCGCGCGCGCGCGCCCCACTCACCGCGCGGCCGGCGCCCTGCGAGCAGCGGCGGCGGCGGGAGCCGGCGCCGGGCGCGGGCGGAAGCGGCGGCGGCGGGAAGTGAGGTCACTCCGGAACCGGAGGCGCCCCCGCCCCCGCGGCGCGGTGACCGTTACCGGTCCGCATCCCCCGCGCGCGCCGCCGCCGCTGCCGGCAACGGCCGCGCGTCTCCAGAGGCGACCGTTAAACGCCCGTTTAACGGCCAGTAACGTCCGAGCGGCCCCCGCGCCCCGGGTCGCAGCGCCAGGCACCATCAAACACCCCCCCGTTATTAGGGCTTTTAACAAGCAGCCACTTGCGCGGCGCTCCCTACAAATCCGTGACCCCGCAAGCTTGGTTTTTTTAAGTAAACCTCTCGTTGCTTGAGCCCCGCTCAGCGCCCGCGGCTCCGTTACGCGCGTGTTCGCACACAGACCATCCTCCGCTTCACCCCAGCTTTACTAAACCGAGCTCAGCAGCCGCCGCGGCGGTCACGCTGCGGTGCTTGCACCGCCCCGCAGACGTGAAAGCGGCCGCTGCTTTTCCGTCCTCCCAGCCTCCGCGAGGCAGCTCCACAGTTCTGCATCTGCCCTCGCCGTTAAAACCAACGCGGAGACGTTAGTCTCTCTGCAGCACTGCCGGTGACGGTTCCGGTGCTCAAACCCCACTCACCTCCACTGCGCGGAAAGGGCACGTTACTCTCGCTCACATTTACTGAACACACCAAACCGCGTTTCCGTCGGCAAATTCAGCGGTGTCCAGGCACGGGAAGCTATTATTGCCTTTCCTTCTCTAGGGTACCATCATCTGGGGAGGGCGGAATTTATTTCAAAGACGCTGGCAATAAGGGAAATAAAGCACTGGTATGATCGCACTTCTCTACCCTCAGAGGTTTCGCTGAGCAAACCTGTCCTTCACTTGGTATTTTTATGCTGAGCGTTTCAGTAGGGATTCAGTTTAATTCGGCAGGCTCAAAGCTGCCACCAACTTAGATTTTAGGAGTGTCCCCTTCCTCTCCTCGTTGCCTTTAGCTACGTATCAGTTAAAAGGCACCAAGAATGTCCCCGCTCGGGCTGTTGTTATCAGCACTGTAAGGATATCCTGAATTCTTACAATGGTGGACTTCATTCCACTGAGAGCTGTATGCTTTCAGTCTGCTTTGGCGGCTGCTGCTGCTGCTGCTCATACTTCCTTGCTGCAAAAAACAAAAACAAACAAAACCAGCACTCAGCACCAGTTATTCTACTGAAATTTATGTGAAAATATACATGTCTATACACACACACACATTCATACAATAAATCAAGAAACAGGGTTAAGATCAGAGAGTGCCGCTTCAAAGTTGAGCTACACACCAGGGAAGCTTCAGCCACCACATGGATGACGTCCTTCAGCAAGCGGCCTTGGAAAAAAGACAATAGCATTGTAGCAATATTTAGGTAAATTAATGGCAAAGAACTATGATTCCACTGGGATCCTTTCATTAAAAAAAAAAATAAAAACACTATGTATTCAAAAGGGCTATTACAGATCATCTGCAGAACTCATTAGTCACGCAATAAATGGCCTCAACACCTCAACACTCACCTCAGTATATAGGCCACACGCTAGCAACTCTGTTGACTTCAAAATTAATTGGGTGAGCAGCGCAAAACAAGATCAAAGCCTCGCGCGAACAAAGAAAACCAAAGAATGCCAGCAGGCCTGCCTTTGTAGGATGCGCATCCTTTTTTATCTGGACAGAAGTGGCCTGCTCCAAGAATCTTTACATTTAAAAGATGGCTTTGAAGATGCCACTATTTCTTGCCCATTTTCCCTGTAGGCTCCTATACACTCCCACGCTCCGCACTTCCTCACGCCATCCCCTCGCCGGCGGGACGCTTACCCATGGAGTACATCTCCAGCTGCTGCCGCAGGCGGATCTTCTTCACGCTGTCGTAGAAGTTGGGCTCGGGCGGCGTGCCCGCCGCGGGCGGCAGCGTGAATATGCGCATGATCCTCCTCTTGTTCCTGCCGAAGGAGCGCGCCATAAAGCAGCGCGCGGACATCGACACCGCCGCGGTCGCCCCACGTGGCGGCTCCTGGCGGGAGATCCTGCCCCGCCCCCTCGCTTTGGCCACGCCTCCTCGCATCGGCCCCGCCCACCCGTGTGGCCCCGCCCCCCGCGGCTGCCCCGCGCCTCCCCCCCCGCCCCTCACCGCCGCGCGTAGACGAGGAGGGCGAGGCTGGCGAGCACCACGAGCAGGTAGACGTTGGTGGCCTCGTTCCACGCCTCGTGCACCGAGTAGTCGATGGCGCCGCCGTCGCCCAGCGCGGCCGAGCCGCCGCCAACGCCGCCGCCCCCCCCCGCCAACGCCGCCGCCGCCATAGGAGGGGAACGGCCGTTAGAGGCGGCGCCGCCGCGGCCGGGAAGTGACGTCACGCGGAGCCGTTGGGCGCGGGCGGGGGGGCGGTTGGGGCGCCCGCCACCCCCCCCTCCGATCTTCAGGGAGGAGGTGGGGGGAAATGCAGCGATTTGGCTGGAAAAACGCACGAAACGGAGGCCTGGCGCCCTGCGGCGTGTGAACAAGTGCAGGGAAGCAGGGGAGCTGCAGCCTCATCCTCTGAAAGCCCCATGGGTGCGGAGTTAAGAGCACCTTTGCCCACGAGTGTAACTAAATCCAGCCGTTCAGGTGGGGAAAACGGCCGTTTCCCCCCAGAATGCTTCTGTCTGTGCCAAAAAGGGAGCTTCTGGACATTCTGTAGAGCTGCAGAACAGATTCATTTCAAGAGGCCTCAGACTGGAGCATGGAAGCACAGGAGATGAGTGAAAATGGGAATATCCAAAAAAAAAAAAACCTAAGGCACTGTTGCCATGAGAAAAGCTCCTTGCCCCACATGGTGTGGGAAGGAAGAGCCGAAGAACATCAATTAGACATAATTCCTGATCATTAAGTCAGTCTGGTACCCAGTCACAGGGTTGTGGAAACCACTAAGAGAATATATGAGTTTTATCACTTACGAAACATGACTCCAGACTTCTAATTAGCGCACTTCCTTGGGATTTTAAACAGTTTCTCAGTAAATTGAGGCTCTTTGTTCGAGCATATTAAACTTTTCACCCAGCAGGCCTGAAAAGAAAGCATTACGAGTGTGGGAAAGAAAGTAGAAAGAATAAGCACAAGTAACTTGGATATGTTTTTATATTTTGCTATGTTGTAGAAAACTCGGTTGGGGTCAGGCTCCCTTCTACTAGGTACAGAGAGGTTGTATTTAAGGTACTGAAAGGCACTATTTGTTTTTGCAGCTTGAGGCCGGGCGATGAGGGCACGTGCTGGAGCACCCCAGCATCCTGCACCTGGGACCTGGCCTTGCAGACAAGATGAGCTTCTCTTCCAGAGGAAACCCAGCGCTGCATCTATGAAGCACAGCCTTGGTTTGGGGGCTCCCCAGCCCCCAGAGAAGAGCAGACTTCACTCTGTGCTCACTTTATTTCGCTTAATTAAATGTTGCTTGAGCTGTTGCAAGCGTGATAGCGCTGCAGATCTGGGGGGATAAAAGCAATTGCCCTCTGGCTGCGGGATGTTTCTTCCCGCTTCTTGGCCATTAGCAGTAGGAGCTGTGTTGGTGGAGGCTTTTTGTGTGACTTCCTAGAGGAATCTGGTCCAACCGCTGGAGCTGGTAGATTCTAATCCTTGATTAACTTGTCTTGCTGCTCTGTCATTTCCTTTTATGGCTTGGGCTCTTGTTTCACACTTAAGCTCCTAAACATTGGCAGAAATTGGAATCTAAGCTCGCTCCTTTACGCTCCTACCCTCGGAGCTCATGCAGGGCCCTCCGTGCCCGCTGACGGGTAATCGCAACTGGGGCTGACTCCTCTCAACATCAGAACAAGATGGGAGACTGGGACTGATAGAAGCCTGGGGACGGCCGGATTTCTGGATATTAGGGAGCACGTAGTCATGGACCTACCTCAAGGGACGAGTCAAGCCCCAGAGCTTTGCTGAACCCGGAGCAGAGCCGGGCCTTGCAGTTGTAGCTTTGGGCGTGCGTGTGGGTAGTTTGCAGGAGGTAGGATGGGAAAACCAGTGCGGGTGGATGCTGTGAACGCGTACGGAGAGCAGCAGTCGTTTTCTGCCTTCCTGCACTGCAGCTTGTAGAGGAAGGGCTCTCATTTTGTGCTAGAGCCGAATGGCATCCGACCTCTGGCATCCTGCTTGTGACCGAGCCGTGGAGGCACCGATCACATAATACATAATAATAACCTACGGCGTTGGCATCAGCTCTACGGGCAAAGTCCAGCTCATGTGGACCCAAGCTTAGCGGCTGGACTTTCAGCATTGCTCAGTACTAAATAAGCTCGGGGAATTTCAGCTGTGGGTTAGACACAACCCCGGCTCTTACAAATATGGGTGTGATTTAATTTAAGAAAAAATCTTTTTCAAAAGTGAGAACCTCGATCATTCCACGAGAAATCTACCCCATACTTAATAAAAGTGTGTGCTTTAGCCCCATAGACTTACCAGGAGTGATACTGAAAAGGGCTGCTAGCTCTACAAAGAAAAATCATATTCTAACAGTCCTTAAGAGCCATTGACTGCCTTGAATTTGACTAACAAATATTTAACAGCTTTGAAAATCTCCTCACTTCACGTCCAGAATCTGAATGGTGGAATCCGCCATCAAGGTCTTTCTTCTAAAAAGTATGATCAAAGAATTTTGGAAGCTTCATTTGAATTTATAAGTGTGTATGTGCATCATATTTAGAAATAATATATATATATTTATTAGCTTTTGAGTTGCCCAGAGCTAAACAAAATCAGAAATATCACTGCAATTTAAAAGTATTCAACATTTGATCCTGATAAGCCCTGGGCTGTAGCCTTCAGAACACTCACAGAACACTCTTCAGAACACTCACAATTATGGGAAATCATGTGGGCATCTCAAGTGCAGAGTATTTCAATTAAAAGAAAACCATAAGAGCCTTTTTCTTTTTTCAAAAAATGCCATCTAACATATAATTTATTTGGATGAACTCTACAGCTACATGCCTTATATCATGCTAGAAGAACTTCGCAACCGCTCTCCTCCTGTTCCCAGGGACTCTCGTAATCCTAATGACAGCCTCAGCTTACAGTGGCGAGCCCTGCCAAGTAGCTCACAGTTGTATTTTGCAAGCAGCACTGCCCCTGGTTCTCAGAGATAATAGCCTCATCTTTTGTTTATGTGGCAGCGAAGGAAAATACTGTTTTAGGGCTGTGGTAGAAGTTCAGAAAGTTCCTGTGGTGCTCTCAGCTTCTTGTACATTCAATGGTTACCGCTCCATTAAGTACAGAATACCATGGACTTTGGAAGTGTCCGGCAAAATTAGGAAAAGAAACGGGGATGGGGGACAGAAAAGGCTCCGTTCAATTAAATAGGATACATCCATTTTATTTGCCTGGTATTTGTCCACACCGGCATCCATGGATGTGGATGCAATACTGCTTGTATCTGATGGAGTCAAATATATCCATGCGTTGCCGTAAAGGCGTTGGGGATCGTGCGGATGCGGTTAGGATGTCGGTTAAAACATGCCCTCCTCTCCCCAGGACCAGCTCCTTTACCCAGGCTTTTGGGTGAGGCAAGGGGAGCAAGAGATGCAGGAGGATCTCAGATCCCAACAGCTTTCCGGGGAGAGGACTGGGAATGTGGGGGCCTCGACCTGAGCTTCAGGTGAGCATGGAAGCAGCCCTTGAGGTAGGAGCCGCCTGTGCTCCCGTGTAGGGAAACGTCACCCAGAGAGGCTGTGTCACTGCTAAACACTGAGGCCCATCTGTTCTTTCTGCTGCCATCTAGGGCTCCCACGCAGACAGGAGCAACATCCAGCAAAAGAAGGGTTTGTTTTCCACGCTGCATGATGCTCTGCTCAAAACTACGGTAATTTATTCGGTGTTGAAATGCAAGGCTACGCTTTAGTAATAAGATGGACACCTGCAATAAGATGCTGCTGGGAGTGTGGGCAAAGGACTTGACTCCAGCCTTGATCCCTGCCTTTGAGGAGCTCCATCCAAAATCACTGGTCACTTTTGAGACTCTGAGTGCTGAGCTTTGCTTCCCGACGAGGGAAGCAAAGGGGCAGCAGGAGCCCTGCAAGTGAGGAACACGCCTGGAACTGATAACATGAGCTACCCGAGGAACACAACCTCGGCTAAGGCAAGGGAAAGCAACCTGCTGCTCGCCGTGGCAGCAGCTCTGGGTTTAGTTATTTACAGAAAGGCTGCCCATTTGTAATAAAATTGTATGTGGATTTGAACAGAGTATACAAAAAATGATGGCACTTTTCCAGTCAGGATGTGACTTGTTTGGATGACAGGGAACGTCGGTACAGACTCCTTGGCAAAACAGGCCAGTGTGCTTTTTGACTTACAAATTGCTACTCAAATGAAGACTAGCATGAAGGTGGTCACAGGCAGGCTTCCAAGGTTTTAGAAGAAAATTTAGGGATTTTGAGGAGCACATGTCTCCCGCCACACCTGCACACCTTCATTTCTCCTCCTCCTCTTCCACTGATACATAAAAGATGCCAGTAGGAAACTCATCACGCAGCCGGACTTTTTTTAATTGAAAGATGAAAGTACAAGTCCAGTGTTTTCAATTTTGTTTTATTATCTTTTCAGTTTAGGGAATAGAGATTTTGCTCTTGTATAATCTTCAGGCAAGTTAAAATAAATAGGCAGGACAGCAACTTCGGTGTCTGTCCCGTGATTCACTACAACATTTCCCTCGTACCGGGCACGGCGGCCTCCCGAATAAGAAGAGTCAAAACTTTCCTGTAGGTGTCTAAGACCTCTTGGGCCGAAGGCCTTTCAGCTGGGTCCTTCTTCTTGCATGCTGCATGGATGTCAAACAAATGCAGCCGCACGATGTCACTCCCTTCTACGTGGCCCAAGAGAAAATTGGCGACATCGGGGATTTTCCATATGTCCGTTTTCTCGTCATAGGCGGGCATGAGGTCGTCATCAAACGGCACCTCTTCCCCGTGGGGCCAGCGCTGCTCGGGCGCCACGAACTCGCCCCGCAGCTCCCGGCGCCCGCACTTCACCAGGACGCCGGCGCTCCTGTTCACCAGCGGCAGCGCATCCAAGTCGTTGACCAGGACGTGGAAGTCGCTGCTGAGGAGATACTGGGAGAGCACCTTGGCCAGGTCGTTGGAGTCGCACATCACCAGGGTGCCCAGCGGGCTGCCGTGCAGGAACCGGATGATGCTCACGTAGTCTATGGCAAGCGCGAGCCTGCGGTGCCACGTGTTGAAGCCCTTGTACCTGGGCATGCTCAGAGTTTCGTTCAGGCCCCGGAGGGAGCCTAGCGGGTGGTACTCCGTGAGGATGGTGAACTGCTGCTCGCAGTAGCCCAGCAGCCGCACCACGTGCTTGCTCTGCAGCGCTCTGAGCATCTTCAGCCCGTGCAGAAAGTCGTCCTGCAGCTCCAGGCTGGTGAGCTGCGAAAGGACCACCTTGTTTTCCTTCCACTCAGAAAGAAACACCTGGGAACGTGCGAGAGACACGTGAGACGTGTGGAGCCTTCGGCAGTGAGAGGCCCCAGGTGCAGTCCGAGGCTGAACCTGATGCTGTTAGGAGAGCGTGAAGCCTTTAGGCTGGCCCACGGTCCCGTCACAGCAGGACCTCGCTGGCGGGGCGCCTACCGCAACATCCCGCTTTCTCCCGTGTTCCTTAGTGGCAGTGCCACTGAGTTAAGCGGCCAAAGGATTTCCTCCCACCTGGTTTGTGCCGGCACGTCTTTATCAGCCACGACTGTGTCACCCCCACAAGCGCTTCGCCCGTCCCAGTGACGCCACTCGCACTGTTGGGTGCCAACGGGTGCAGCTGAGGTGCAAGCTGGCCCGGGACACGCGCTGGGACCTCCTTGTTGACCTGCCCGGAGCCCCAGGGACAGGGGGCACAGGCATGACCGAGCCAGCAAACACTGCCAGCCTTTCCATGGGGTGCGGAGGGGAGGGAAAGCCAAGCTCACCTTTTTCACTGCTCCTTCGCCAACGCGCTTGAGTTTCCTCACTTCCTTACTTATGGCTTCGCACGAGAGCCACGGGGAGCAATTCTTCCCTGCTCCTAGTCTGAAGGACCCCAGGGGGCAGAGGCTGGGGTCCGGGCCGGCGCGTTCCGAAGAGCCGTGCCCATTGCTGAGGTAGAGGTAGAGGAGGCCGTTGAGGAAGAGGACGGCCGCCAGCAGCAGCGCCGGTGCCAGCGCCGGCACCTCCCTTGGGGGAGGCTCTCTCCGCACGGAGTGCGGTTTCTTTTCCATAGCTCAGCCTGCTACATTCCCAGTGAAGGACCCGCGCGCGCGAGCGGGCAGGAGAAGGCGCGCGGCGGCTCTCGGCAGGGCGTTCCTGCCGCCATGGCCTCCTCGCAGAGGCGCCGACCCCGCGGGAAGGCGGGCGCGGGGGCTGCACGCGCGGCCGCCTCACGCTCCGGCCACGGTTTCCCGAGCGGGGGCTGCTGGAGCAGGGGCCGGGGCGCTGCAGCAGCAGCGGGGAAGGGGAGGGAAGGGAGGGAGGAAGCTGGAGGAGGAGGAGGCACGGCGGAGGCCGGGGCGGAGCGCGGCGCGATGGCGGCTGCAGCAGCGGCGCTGCTGGCGGCGGCGGCGGCGCTGCTGGCGCCGGGCTCGCCGTGGGCGCACGGGCAGGACGCGTGGGGCGCCGGCAGGCGCGCGGCGCCGCCGCGGGGCCGCATGGACCAGGCGCTGCTGCTCGTGCACAACGCGCTGCCCGCCGAGGGCCTGCGCCTCTCGGCCCTCTCGGCCGCCTGCTACCAGGTCAGCGGCCCCGCCGCGTTTCCCCCGGCCCCCTCCTCGTGCGCGTGGCTTGCGAGGCAGGAGCCCTCTGGGCTTCTGCATCACGGGCCGCTCCTGCCCCGGCTCTGGGCCCTCACTCGGCCCCCGTCTTCCCCAGTGCTCCCCTCAGCTCCTGGCCTTCATCCCCGCCTCCAACGGGAGCTCGAGGAGAGCGAGCACGGCGGCGGTGGCTGTGGACACCCAGCATCCGCTCACCCTGCAGCTCGACGGCTTCTCCGAAAACAGAGCGCTCTGCAAGTACGTGGCCCGCCCCGGGTGACACGAGCATAGCTGCCCAACGCAGCAGCTGGCTTATTTCTTTGTTTGTAAGTGTATTTATTTACAAACGCGCCCCACGCTGCTGCAGTTGGGGGGTTCGTTATCTCCGCGCTGAGCGTGGGCAGCCAACACGTGTGCTGGGCTTGCAGGAGGCAGCCCCGACAAAGGAGGGACCGGGAGCTCCCGCTGCCTTTCCTACAAGCACCCAGCCACAGGAGACCCCAACTGCTGCTCCGGGAGCTGCACGGAGCAGGGACAGCTCAGCGAGTTTCCTTCCTTTATCCCTTGCAGGATTCACTATCATTTTGGAGAATCTGGCAACTATTCTCTCGAGGTAAAGATCCAAAGTGGGAGCACCCAAACAGTTTCTTGTGACCTAAGTGTCAATGAAGACCCTATCAACAGCTACCTCCGTACGTAAAGCTCCCTTTTCCTCTTTTGGTCCACAATTTGCATGTCTCACTGCAAAACTGACCTTGGAAAAGCTCTCGTGGCCACTCGGGCTGTGCTGATGATGCTCATGGACCTGCTTTAGCTACTAAAAGGGCTTGTTGCTCTGCATGTCTATGTACATACATAGGATCCTCCCTCTTCTTCGCCTCTCCTCCTGTTTTCCTTGCTTGTCTCTGGGACTCAGGCTGTGGAGATGTGTCGGTGGGGTGGTGAACAGTGGGTTGGGTTGGCTGCTGTGTTCATATCCCTCAGGGCAGCCCCAGGCCGCTCAATGACTTTGTTAAATGAGTTACCGAGCTGTGTTCTTCTCTCTGCCCCGCAGCTATTCTGTTTGCGTTCCTGGTTTACACGGGCATCCTTGCGCTCGTGATTGCTGGACACCTTCTCATGAAGTAAGTGAGGAGAGCTGTCCATGAAGTAAGCGAGGAGAGCTGTGGCAGCTGCCGTGGGCACGCGGGACGCGGGGCGGCTGGTTTCGAAGCACTTCTCATCGTAGTGTGGCAGTAAAAGAAAAGCAATCTCTGTTGAGGGGGATTTTGCAGTCATGTAAGCCAGTGCATAGAGCATTTATTAAGCCTTCCGTCCTGTGTGCTGAACGAGGTGAGTTGTCCTTGCCTAGAAATAAACTGAGAATAACAGTCCTAAACGTGAGCTTGTAATGCAGGGCAGTGACAGAACTGGAGTGAGGCTGCAGGTACCGGGTCAGGTATGTGACTTCAGGAAACACAAACAGGGGCTGTCTCAGCTTTTGATTTACACTGCTAAATAACTGATGTGAAGATGACTTACTGGCTATAAGGTTCCTTTTTCTTAACTGTGGCTGTTTTTCAGAATCGATCCAGTCAGGAACTGGGTTTGCAAGAGACTGAACCCTAGAGAAACAGAACGTGTGATTAATTCCGTGAGTGACCCCAATATCTTTAATTTGCCGTCCACAGCATTTCCATCTCACACTGAGTGACACTACCCCGGTATTTGGGGGCTCTTTAGTTACTGTCCTTCTCCCTTTGGCAAATCTTTACTGAAGTCAGGCATTATTTTGTCAGGGGCTAGACATTATTTTTGTCTGGCCTTCCATGCAAGTTTAGTGGATTCCCAGCAGAGCTCTTGCAAGCCTTGACCATCCAGCTTTCTGCCCGATTCACTTCCATCACGGGAAACACCTCAGTGAAAATATTGTCCACTTCTGATACAAGCAGTATAAGGGAAGGGAGGTACTGCTGCTTCTGTGCCTGCTTGAGGCCCTATAGGAATATTACTGGGATCTACACCTGAGTCAGGATTTCTCTTGCAGCCTTAGAGCTGGCATTTTTGAGCCGTGTTTTGTACTGGAATAGAGGTCACAACTGGATTAAGTCGTCACAACCTGGGCTTGACATTTAGAAGGTCAGAATTTCACAGGATTCAGACGAGCTGGGAATAGAGCTCCTCAGGGATGTTTGAAGCTCTTTTGCAGCAGCGTCTGCTTCTCATGCTGTCACTGGGGCTGACTGGAGTGATTAAGGGAACTAGAGGAGGAAGAAGCCACTCCTGGTTTTGAAAGGAGTTTCCTCCTTTTTCGTGCTGCTTTTTGATGGGATTTACCCTTTTTTTTCCCGGAATTCTGGATCTCCTCAGCTGATTTTGACTGAACCCAGCTCTCCTGAGCATAGGTTTACAGAACTGGCTCACAGACCCAAGTTCTTTATATGGGATGGTTGATCTCCCCTGCCAAAGGTGGAAACATCCTCGTTTTTCCATCACGAGAGTTAACTGCAACACGGCAGATCCATAAAGGGGTGAGAAAGAGCAAACTGGGAAGCAAAAGGCCAAGAAAGGTGGGGAGAACAGATGCAAACACAGTGCTCGAAAGCCTGCAGGCCTCGGTTTGTTGACTTCTGCTTCCTGGGCGGCTGACGCAGCTTCTGACTTTCCCGGCGCGTGTCTGGTTTGTTCCCTAAGGAGCCTGGGTCCCCAAACAGAGTGGACTCCCCGAGCAGTGACCTCTCCTGCCAGCGCCTGTGGAGCAGCGTCCCGCGGCAGCGGCTGCGCTCCCTGGACACGTTCCGAGGGTGAGCAGAGCGCGTCCCGCGCGCCGCGTTTCCGCAGGGAACCGCATTCTCCGCAGGCGCTTTCACGGCAGGCAGGCTAAGCAGAGCGTTGGCAGTGCAACGGGATGTGTTTTCGTGGGAAGATCGTCAGGGTTTTTTAATTCCTGGATTTTCTGAAGCACTTTGGAGTTGAGCTCATTGGAGGAAACATTAAAGCTCAGTTGCAGTGGAAGGTGGGAAGGAACAACCTTCACTCAGTGGGAAGGTGCAGTGTGAAGGAGCTCACTTTGGTTCGCCCCTACCTGTGACCCTTGAAGTGCTGCTGCCTCCCAGGAGAGCAAAGCTAGAAGCCTTGTGCATAATTTTGCTTTAAAAATAAGTAGCTTTGCAGTTAGAAATGTTTTAATGGGGTAGCCATGAAACTCTGCACTCATACATATGTGTTGCATTGACATGCAGTGCTTTCTGTGTTTGTTGTTGTCTTTCCAGGCTCTCTCTCATAATTATGGTGTTCGTTAACTATGGAGGAGGAAAATACTGGTTCTTCAAGCACGAGAGCTGGAACGGTAAAGTAGAGCCAAGGCAGCAGCAATATCGAGATAGTCCTTGTTGTCACACAGTCACAGGAGGGTTTCAGGTCACGGACTAGGTACAACCTTCTTGTTTGTCACCTCTTTTCAGGTCTGCAACTTTCCTGTGTTGCATGGTGACTGTAGCAGGGTGTAGTGTCACAGCCAAACCGTGTTGCTGATGCCACCCAAACCTAACAGCCTTGGACAACAAGGATCCCGGTCCAGGAAGCCCTTGCTGAGACACACTGTCAGTTCTGCCAATTAGAAAAGCAGGGAAGCAAGATTATTAGCTGCTTTTAAGTTCAGCTAATGATGTGATTTAGATTTGGGGCTATCAGATATCCACAAGCAGCCTGCAATTCCCCTGGAAACTCCACAACAACATTGTTAATGTTAAGGACAGTTTTGAGGCAATTAACTTTTTTTTTTATTTATTTCTTTGCAGGATTAACAGTGGCCGATCTTGTTTTTCCATGGTAGGTCTTCCTGAAGAACAGCTCTTGGGCTGTACCAAGGGTTACAGGCAGAACACTGTGTGCACCTCACAGCCACGGGGCAGGGCATTTGGAGGAGGGAGTTTGGGTTGCACGTGCTCCACGATGCTCGCTTCTCTGCCACTTGCTAGCCAGCAGAGGAAGCAGGTTGTCTGATTTCTGCCAGGGCACCTAGATTGCTGTTGAGCCACTTTAGGATACTCTGTTACACAGCATTTCTGTCTGCCATCCTGCACGTGTGCGATGAGAGGTGAGACAAGGCAGCAACCAGCTCCATTTCCCAACTGCCTCCTCCTCTAGGTTTGTGTTCATCATGGGGACATCAGTATCGCTGTCTCTGAGCTCCATGCTGAGACGGGGAAGTTCCAAGAAGAAGGTGCTCTTGAAGATCCTCTGGAGGAGTTTTCTGCTAATCCTGCTGGGGATCGTAGTTGTGAATCCCAATTACTGCCTTGGACCGTGTGAGTGGTCTCCTGCTCCACTTGCTCTCCTTTTCGTGTTTCTCTGGCGGTTGCTGCTGCCAGCGGGGCTGGGGCCACAAGAGCAGGTAGTGTCGGCGTTGCCGTATGGATCATTCGGAAGGGCACAGGCTGAAGGTATCCTGTAGGATGCTTTAATGCTGAGCTTCAATGCTGACCTGCTCCGTTCTGCATGGCTGAATTTCCCAGAGATGCACCAGGTTTGCATGGCAGAGGCAGCTATGAGCTAACACGAAGCCAGTTTGCGGCCCTCGTAGGTTTTAATAGTTGTTGAACTGAAGCACTACCTATAGAAACCATCCCATCCATAGGAGGGTGTCTTTCTGCCTAACTACTGTATCAACTGTTATATCCCAAGGTGATGATTTATGGAAAGGGAGGTGGCAGAGCAAGGGTAGGAGCACGTATATTAGGTCTCAGTTCCCTCTGAAGAAGTGGAGCTTTCATATTTATCAAGGTGCCCATATTTGCTCCAATTTTTCAGTGTCCTGGGATAATCTGCGCATTCCCGGGGTGCTGCAGAGGCTGGGATTCACATACCTTGTGGTTGCTGCTCTCCAACTCCCGTTTTCAGGAACTGCGGCTGAGAATGTGCCGGTGAGTCGCGTGATCCTCGCGCTTTCGCTGCTCCTGGGCGCAGAGAACGCGTGAGAAACAGAGAGAGATCACGGGCCGTCTTCCTTGCCATGTCGCGCCGTGTGACCTCGTGTCTGGGAACGGGCCGGGGTAATTTTGTGTCCTTGCCAAGGGAACCCAGGGATGGGCTAAGTCCAGGGACAAGGCTGTGCCAAGTGCTGGGGCCCCTGTTATATCCAGTTAAATTTGGCGATGGCTTTTCACAGCAGGGGAAAGTAATACTGCTTTTTGGCCTTTCTGGAGTCTGGTTTCCCAAAAGGCTTTTGTTCTGCTCATGAATCAAAATTCCTCCTGACATTTTCCAAGATCAGAAAACATGAAAGGCTTTTGTTTGTTTTCTCCCTTAATAAGTGAGCTGAAAGGTCCAGTGCAGAAGCCAAGGGTGCGATGCCAGCGGCTCCCTCCTTTATCTGGGGAACCTGTCAGGAAATACAGGATGTCCCCCAGGGCACGGTCTTTATTTGCCAGCTAATACTTTGCTCCTCCCTGTGCCTCGTGCAGGAGATGCCACCTCCGGCTCTGCAGGATATTCTCCCCTACTGGCCGCAGTGGGTTTTCCTTTTGACATTAGAAGCGATTTGGCTCTGCCTGACCTTTTTGTTACCAGTGCCAGGCTGCCCCAGGTAAGTCGTTGTGCTCGCTGTGCTTTCCGTGGGGCATCAGGTTGTCTTCCCACTGAGCAGACACATTGCAGCGTCTGTAGCTCTTAGTGTTAGGGAAGGATCCCAGCAGGGTCGAGGGCAGCATTCAGCACATGAAAACCTTTTCTTTACAAAATAGCTGGGGTTAGACAGGTGAGATCCCTTCTAGCTATAGAGGAGGTTTAAAATCTCCCTGCGCTCTGTGTTTCCAATATATGATTATCTCCGAATCATACCAGCCTCTGTCTTGGCTCCCATGGGGGTAAGCACCTGCAGAGCGGGCAGAGCAGGGACCAAAGCAGAGCGTCACTTTAGGCTCCCAGTGTTGCCTGTCCCCTCCTTATCCAGCATTATTGGAATGGGGAATTCACTGGTGAGCTGTCACGCAGGATTACAGGCAGGAAACACGTCCAGCATCTCTGCGCCGGGGGAGCACCCACTCTTCAGGTGGGGCACCGCAATGCTCAGTACCACAACCTGCTTGTTTATGTCCTAGGGGCTACCTTGGTCCGGGGGGCATCGGCGATTTTGGGAAGTATCCTAACTGCACTGGAGGAGCAGCCGGTTACATCGATCGGTTGCTTCTTGGAGAAAAACACATATATCAACACCCCTCGTCAAGCGTAAGCGGCTTTTGGGTGGCAGCACGGAGCTGCAGGCTGGCACGGCCCGTGGATGTCAGCAGGGAAGGGCACGTGGGGAGGGAGGCAAAAGAGCCTGCTTCCTTGCAGGACCTGTAGTAACTGTTCTCTCTCTAAGGTGCTTTACCAAACAAAAATGCCCTATGACCCTGAGGGCATCCTGGGAACCATAAACTCCGCTGTGATGGCATTTCTGGGACTGCAGGTACCGCTTTCCTTCCTCTTGGCTTGGGTTGCAGTGAGGAGATTGGAAGGGGCCTTTCTGCAGCCCCTACCAAGCTACAGGAGACGGAGCTTCAGGGGCTTTATGTGAAAAATAACCAAGTTGCTTGTCCCTTCCCCATGAATGTAGGAGCAAAGGGAGACTAGATGTTGTTCTCTTGCCAAGCGAACTGCATTTTCACGTTTTTTGGTTTCTTCCAGTTTGAATCTTTCAGCTGCTTAGTTAATTCATACAAACCCTATTGGTACTCTCTCCCCTAACACAAGTAGCCCTGCTATGTAAGGGAAGTTACATTTTGGGCCACTAATTGATGTTTCTATTATTTTTATATCAGGCAGGAAAAATTATCTTGCTGTACAAAGACCAGCACAAGCAAATTATGAGTCGATTCTTCATATGGAGCATAGTAATGGTAAGTCAGATACTTGCTTGGCTTTGTCTAGTTTGATCGGGCAACTCTTTAACGGGCCTGTTTTCTTTTAAAGCAACACAAACTTTCTAACTCCCAGACATGTTGCTGTAGTTACATTAACTTTAATGACTTATTATTTCAGGGAATTATTTCTGCTGCCTTGACAAAATGTTCTAAAAATGAAGGCTTTATTCCCATAAATAAGAATCTATGGTAAGCAAAAAAAATACAGCTTTCAGTATGACTTCTACTAAGTACTATTTTACGCCTTTTTTTTCTTATATGTATGTATAAGTATGTCACACTGCTTAAATAACTTTTTAAATTTCTACTAAACATTTGCATAGGTCAATATCGTACGTGACAACCCTGAGCTGCTTTGCCTTCATCCTCCTCCTGCTGATATATTACCTGGTGGATGTTAAGAGGCTGTGGTCAGGTGCTCCGTTTTTCTACCCAGGTCAGTAAAATCAAGACAGAAAAACCTACTATTTCCCATTCTTTCCAGATTAATACTATCCTATTATGTTTTCTGTACTTCCCTTGACTTTAGGGGGTAGGATTTAGAGCAAGTTGCCCTGAAGGGAATGGGAAGATGGCTCGGGTGATGCAAATGGGATCCTTATTTCCCACCAGAAATCATGGAGCTTGGAAGGGCAATGAGCCTTTGTTTGCAACTGCAGCAGATCCGGCCAAAAAGGTCGGGTCAGCTGTTCTGAAGACAAATTATTTAACTGGGATAGTTCTTGTCAATAAAATTGTAGGAGAACCACTTTGGTTATATTTTGAATTTAGCATCTTGGTGATCCGTATTTCTTTTGTTATAAATGCTTGGAGGAAAGGAGGGAGAAACCCCTCAGACTGTATATAAAAATAGCATCTTTAGGGCAAGTAAGATTAATGCTCAAAACTTAGTAGTATCTGAAGGCAGGATAGGAGCAGGGTGGTGGCGAAGTGATGCGCTGTGGTGATCAGCTGTGGCTGGGTCACTGCCACTCCATTTCATGAACCCGCTTACTGTGACATAATCCCAGGCCTGCTCCTTCTCACGGCATCACCTGTGCTTATCCTCAGGAATGAACTCGATCCTGGTCTACATTGGGCATGAAGTATTTCAAAACTATTTCCCTTTCAAGTGGAAGATGCAAGACAGTCAATCGCACGCAGAGCACCTGATTCAAAACCTTACTGCGACAACTCTTTGGGTCCTAATCTCCTATGTACTCTACAGGAAGAGGATATTCTGGAAAATCTGATGGAGTGGGCAAAGACTCCGACGGGAAAGCACGTAAAGTGGATTAGCCTGAAGATCTGGCACTTCTGCTAGGCTGTATTACTAAAAAGGGATCCTAATTCCAATTCACAGTCCCATGGAAGCTGCTTTCACGAGTTTCAAGGGACCTAAGGGACTGTAAGCGCCTGTTTAGCAAAAAGTTGCTAACCTGCTGCAGTTGTTTGGTCTGTTTCCTGCATTTTGTATATGTTTTACTGATCTCTCTTTTGTATTGATAAACTGAATATAATGCAGATAATTGATAAACTGAATATAAAGCAGTTGGGCAGTTAATGTGGCCCGACAGTGCTCACGAAGGGAACTACAAGGGGTCTGAGGTGGTCACTGTGTGTGATGATCCAGCGGGGACTTTGGTAGCAGTTGTTACATCTTACGAGGCTCCAACTCACGTGTCTGGGGTTTGTGAAAGCTCTCGACCCCTGCAGCTTCCTGGTGCCACTCTGGCTCCTGGCACACATTTCACGCTGCCGTCTTTTTGACTTGGGAGCGTGGGCTGCATCCTGGCCCTGCGCTTGCCTATGGAGGCGCAGTGACTGTCTGGGAAAGCTCACAGGTTGCCCACGCTGAGCTCCTCCAAGAGAAGCGCTCCCACCCGTAGTTCTTCGCTGTGCTGGCGCTAGGTCTTGGATCGAAGCTCCGGCTTTAGGGTCCCGCTGAAACGTCTTGCCAAAGATCTCCCCTAACGAGTTATTAATTGACATGTAACTGCTGCCCTGGTGGGTGTAGAGGCCGCTGTGTGGACGTTATGGGCCTTTGTGTTACGCAGCTCCAGCACAGATGAGGTCTTAGTTTCTAAGAGTGCAGAAAAGCCAGTACCTGGGGATGTTTACAGAACTGTTTTGCAGCTACCAATGTTCAAAGCAGTCTTTTTATAAATCTTTATAAAGAAGGGCCCTGAACCTAGAAACAAGCGATACGAAGGTAGCTGGAAGAAGTTAATAGGTAGGATTAAGCCAAAACGAGCTGAATAAGTTCAACATAAGGGAAAAAAATAGGAAGGTACAAATATGATAGTTCCCAGAAACTCAAGAAATTAATCACGCTGTGATTTCCAAACTAATAAAAAGCCTGAAAGACTCTACTCTGTTCTCTGTGTATAAAGTGTAAAAACTAATATATTAAGAAATACCCGTGCAGCTACAGCTACTTTAGCATAATGCCATGGGTAAAAATAAAAAAGAGGGGCCAATACTGAAGATTTCTTAAGGAAACCAATACTGAAGAATTCTTAAGGAAAGTTTTATTTATAAAGTTCCATCTTCCCCATTAGAAAAAGGAGCAGTGAGCAAACATCAAGGAGGGCCTGTGTCCCGCAGAACTTGCAACTAACAGGGAATCGGTGACAAGTGGCTTCCCGCAATGGAATTCCTGCTGTGGATTCCAGAGCCTTCCCCCTTGTGCCAAAGTGACAGTGTCCCGAGGTCCGGCCCCTTCAGGCCAGGGTCTGAAGCAGCAGTATTTTCTCGTTAATGCAGAAGCGGTGCAAAACCACCATGAGGTTCTCCCCACAGCGGGCGACCTGGCGCTCCATGGCCAGGCGGAAATCTTCTTTCACTCCTTTCGTGATGCCCCGGGTAACCGTATGATGCCTTAAGTCATGAAGGAAGAAGAGAGACAAGATGAAACCAGGGGTGATTGGTGCCTTATCGTATTTTGAAAGGTACTAGGTGCCATTTACCATGGGTCTACGGTCCATACCTGAATTTAGGTGGAGAGCCAAAGCGCATGCTACGCTATTTTTAAAAAACCTGCAGTACTTAAGAATTCCAGAAGCACCTGTGCTCTCAATCTCTGATTATAGCAGCTGTTGGAGGGGGAAAAAAAAAATGTTGCTGCTCTAGTTAACAGGAGCATCTCCTTCCTAAACCCTGGGAAGTGCCGCGGATGTTGCCCTGGTCAAGGCCAGTCTTTAAAAAAGTCCTTTGTCCCCAAATGCTGGTCTGCAGCACTCCAGACCTTCTGTGTTTTCCTTAGAACCATGTTTGGCAGTGCCAAAACAGAAAGCTTTACTCATACTAGTCCAGAATCGCATATATGAAGACTTTGTATCATCTGCCTGCAAGTCCTATTGAGGTATTCCAGGCTAAAAGGCATGCTCTGAAATGATATCCTACCATATCCAATGAATATTCCTAGAACCAAATAAAGGGAAAAGAGGGAAAAGTAAAAAATCTAAGATCAAGTCAAGTCCTGAGCCAAGGCTACCAAGGGAAGAGCCAGACTGGCCCCAGCAAGCACAGAGAAAGTGAGCAAATAAAAATAGAGCAGAGGAACCATTGCCAACGCAGAGATGCAAGAACCAAAAAGGGGCAAGTGCAGAAACTGCCCTTCGCCAAGGATCCCCCAGCTTCGCTTGCATCAGCTCATGCAGCATCTGAGGGGTCGGAGTTTAGGGGGAAACCCTGCAGGCTACAGCGCTTTCCAAGTTGCCCGGCAGGTTAAGACAACAAAAAATGCAATTCAGAACAAATTCTGTGAAGGAAAATAGCTACAAGTAGCTGCAGAGATTCATCACCTACAAAGAAAAGGGTTATCCCCTTATACCTGAGACCTTTTTCTCATATGTGATTGGATGGGGTTATCATTTGTTTGCGATTTCTACATTTTTGTTTCAATTCAACAGTGATTATTAAATTGAGAGAACACGGATACTGGCGACTTATGGAAAAAAAAAAAAGAAGAAATGTTATAATAATACAACATGGTTTGCCAGGCAATGTAGGCACAAATGGAAAAAAAGAAAAGAAAAAAAAAAGATTAAATAACGAAGAGCTGAAAATCATGGGCAGTAAAACATGTTGACAAAACACAGCACACTATGAGTGGGGTTTTTCCGCTTGGTACCTGTCAGCAGTCTGTATGCTGGGCTGTAGCACAGGCATGAATTCCTGCTGCAGTAACCCCAGGGGAGGGCTAGAAGTCCTTTAAAAAACAGCAAATAGCAGCATTCAAACACCCACACACCAACTTCCCCTGCGGTGCAAACCATCTCTCCAGCAGCAGGGACAAGAGAGCTTGGAGGAGGCCACGCAGCAACGGCACCAACTGAGCAGCTGAAGTCAGGCACGTGACGCTATTTGTCACCGGTTGCCTAAGTCTCCTGTGTTCCCCACGCTGAAACCACAAGCAAACAAGGTTGTTGGACGCTGCTCTGAGCAACTTCCTTCTGGCCAGAGGAATATTCAAGGGATATTCATTTATGACCAAGGCTGCTCCAGCACCAGAAGCCATCTCAGCTTAAAGGCAGTTTGGCCTCTCTCCATGAAGTTCTGTCCCCACCTCTGCGTTTCATCCATGGCACTGCACCGCACGTCACACTCACAGCCTAAAGCAAACCCCCCACAGCGGAGACTTTTGTTGCATACAGAATAGATCCGGTTTCCTAATTAGTGTCTAACCTAAATCAGGTCTAACTCTCGGGTGTTTCCGTTAGTATCTTTAATTTATTAATACTGATGGAAATCTATACTAAAAAAAAAAAAAAATCACATTAAAGAAGGAACCATTTGGCAGTACTGGAACACAACTAGATGCAACTGTCCTGAAATAAAACACTTACCAGAAAGAAAAAAATCAATTAAATGAGATAATCATTCAAGAGTTCTTGGCATGAGTGAGCTCAGTATTTCCAAAGTGGATGAAGGGGGAGAGAAAATAAAAAGCTTCAACAAGTTGTCAGTGGCACTAGGGTGTTGCAAGTTTACCAAAGGGAATCTGCACAACTATGGTCACAGGTAAAAATCACCCAAATGCACAGTCAGAACAGAAATGACCCTTTTAAGGTATTTTTTTTTCAGTTCAAACCAACGGAGATTTTCCTCATCTGTCCACAGGGGTGAGACAGAAACATGAGCAGAGAGAAAACTCATCCCTTTTTCACATCAAGTTTACCCAGCATAAATAACAGATAAAACAAAACCTATGGACACCCATGGACTTTCAAAGTTCCATAAGGGAACCCACACAAGATGTATATACATTTTACAGGACCTCAGGATTAGTCTGCAGGCCATCCAGACCTTACTTCAGCTTTTGAAATGCACACTGGAGTTTGCTTTCCCAGATCCAGGAAAAGAGATATAGTATGTATACATACATATTTATTTATATAGGTATATATATAAATATATATAAGTAGAATATGGGTTCCTGTAAATTTTAAGGTGCTGAGGGGAAAAAAAAAACTGATAGGAGAATACGGAATTTCCAGGTAAGTCATGAAACTAAAAGGTGTCCCCCGACATGTTTCCTGTCAGTTGAGATGCAGAGGGACTACATAAATTTATTTGGAGAAAAGATCGAGCAGGGGAGCCATTGCTCTCTTTGTGGGCTGCTCTGCAAAATTCCACAAGTCTTCACAGAAGGGAGCTCCAGAGATGTCCAACCCCGCTGCACAAGCAGGGTCCCCCAGAGCACAGGGCACGAGGTCGTGCCCAGGCAGATCTCCCGAGAAGGAGACTCCACAACTCCTCTGGGCAACTCGTTTCAGTGCCCTGTTCCCCTCACAGTCAAGAAATTTCTCCTCAAGTTAAGGCAGAACTTCCTGTACCTCAGTTGTGCCTGTTGCTCCTTGTCCTGCTTCTTGTTTGCACTTTTTCCAAAACCCCAGCTGGGGGAGGAATGAGCTAACCAGGGCTGTTGAGGTTAACACAGTTGGGTCATCTCCGATCCTCGTAACCGGCCCAGCTAAATAAATATCTGGGGTGCCAGGGAGTAGATGTCATCTAGTAGGGAACTACACCCTGAACCTCGCTCCGGTCTGCGCTCTGATGAAGTGATTTCTATCACATAAGGGTGCTGAAAGCAGCCCTGTGGGCTTAATAAGCACCAGAAAAAACCTTGTTTTTCCTCCCCAAACACTTCCATCATTCAGGAGCCCTAACACTGACCAAAAAAAGGTCACAGAGCAATTTCTCTTTTGCTAGCAATGTCGCTCACTACCTATCTCCCAGCTGGTGGAGTCAAAATACTAAGCAACAGCTGCCACAGAAATCAAAATAAAAATCAAAATAAAAGCTGTGACATCCTGAAATAGCACTAAACACTAGGCACTGCCAGCCCTGGTCTTCAGCACTATGTTTTCTAACTGGCTGATGCCTTTTCTTACCTTCTGTAAAGCAGGGGGGAATCTTACAAAAGAATAGCACTTGTCTTGACATCATTACATACTTCCCAGGCTGACGAAGTTTGTTATTTAATTTTGGGAAATCTATTTAGGAGTCCAAATGTGGACCCCGTCACCTATTCTTAGGCTCCCCTTTTGGAAAACTTAGGCTATTACTAGCGAGAAAAAGAAATCGTCAGAATGCACTGACCTTAACTGGGTCAGTTTGACAAATTTTTGCAAATCCATCTTAGAAAATACCAATGGCTCTAACAAACAACCATAATACTCCAAAACATGCTGCCTCCAAAACCCTTCAGCTGTTACTTGTTCAGTCCTGACTCAAAACTAAGAACACCCAGATATTTAATCCAAATTATTAATTTCCTCCAGCATCTTGTAATAAGCTAAGCAGAATAAGCTTGTTCAGTACATTGAAAGACATGACCTGCTGATTTCAGGCAATGAGGTGATTAGGGTTTTCTTGGGGTGTGATTTAATTTGTGCTTTACATGCAATTTTTTCCTCATTCAGCGCTCTTTCAACAAACAGCATTTTCCATTCAGCATTACTATTCAGAAAAACTATTTAAAAAAAAATCCACTCAAACCTCATTATTTAAAGAATTCCTACAGAGTGCAAGTTTCTGGTAGAAAGAGCAATACTCTAATCACTGTCATGTGAAACACTGCAAAACAAGTACAACATCTAAAAAAAGGCTCTGTAAGATTAGAGTTTAATTTCAAAGAACCCTGTAGAAGAGTCTACAGTTCAATGGGAGATGCAGAGGAAGAAACTCATGGCCTTGTTCAAACTTCTTAAACACACCCCATTAAATATAAATTCCTTAAAGACCTGACAAGCCTATTGTCAAGAGGACTACATGAATATGAAAACAATCAGAACATATTTTTTTTTTAAAGAAAATATTAAAATCTTACTTGATCAACATCGCTTGATTTGGCAACAATTCCAGATGAATTTTCCCTCCTTCCTGTGTTCTTAAATAAGCAAATTCCTCCAACATATCAATATCTGAAGAAAACGTTAAAGATTTCAATGGTGAAAAGCTGATAAACTTTCCCCCTTATTCTTCATATCTGAAACCACACTGCTGAAAGAACAAACTTACAGCTACTGAGATACTTTGAAGTGGTAAAGATCACTGCATGTATTCCTAACTCTCCTCCATTTCAAGAGGAATGGCTTTTCAAGCTATACATATGATATACGTCTCTGCCAGCTGCGTTCCACGTGTGCAAATCAAACTGAGGTAGAGCAAGTTCAGGTCATTAAGACTAGCTCTCTCCCACTTAATTCCCCTGGTCGTTTCTACTTTTAATTTAGTTGTCTCAGATGGCAGTTAGATGCCTTGCCTCAACTTGCATCAACTCCTTGAAGCAGGAGGTGATACTTCTTCACCATTTTGTTCCCCCCAGTTAACGACGGTGTAGAAACGCAACAGTCTTGTAGTGTAATGACTCTATTAAAACTTTAAAGACTGTCATCACTTCCGTTAACAGCACAAGTAATTGCCACTTCCCTGGATGGAAATGCAATGACAGAGTATTTAAGGGGGTGCCAGAACAAGAGGCACTGGGGATATTTACAGCCCAGCACACGGCCACCAGTAAGGAGAGGCCTGGATGCAAATGAAAGCAAAATGTAATTTAGAAAGAAGGGAGAAGTTATAGCAGCTGCTGAAACTACCTAATAGCTTTCACAGCACCCAGCACATACATTTGGATGTGAAAGCCAGTTGTCTTTGGAGAAAGGATACTTGTAACATAGTTGAAGAAATTCTCATACTGGAAGTTTCCTTGCTGGCAGATTTTGTTGATGGCTTTCAGGAACAGGTTTTCACCTCTCGGCCATTCATGCTGAAGCAAAACCACCACGTGGCCCAGTGCCATATCATCTCTGCTGTCTGTGAAAGCTCGGAGCTTTAGAGAAAACATGGACATTGAGAACATCAGGACAAGCACATTGCTTTTGCCAAAATACAGGATTAATCTCACCTACATCTGTGCAAATGTAAAACAAGCGTTTTAGGAAGATATCTCCTTCGGCCCTAACACTTAAAACGGGTTGGAAATTTCCATGCAAACTACCAAATTCTTTCCACTGGTTATCCAGGAAGTCTGCATATAGACAAACATATTTTGAGACTAATCCTATCCTCTCTGCCCAAAACTAAAAAAGAGGCATGAGAGAATACGCAGCCTTGACCACAGCTTACCTTGAAACAAGCTAGTAACAGATGAAGGCAATAGGGCATGATAGCTCGACTTGTACATGGCCAGAGCTTCAAATCAGACCCTGCAACACAGACGTTGAGAGATACAGTTCCTTAAGAGCATTGTGATTTTCAAAGTTTTCACGAAATTAGAATGGAGAGATACAAATTTGCAACTACTATCAGGTCCAAAGGAAAACTCTGAAGCTAAGTTGAAAGTGACTAAAAGTATAAAATTTACTTTTATTTTAAAAAGTTTTTCTTCTCCTTTTCTGTGGCAGGACTTTATCACCAATACACTTTAATGAGTACCAGCAGAAAAACATTTCACAAAATACAACATTTCACCCTTCTTTTTTACAGAAATATCCTCCCTATCAACAATACAAAAAGAGAATAATTAAACACTTTGTATAAATGCATGAAAGAAAACCAAGCTGCCACTGGATTTAGGATAGCGGCAACTCCATACCTTTCCTGAATTTAGACTTGACTTTAGGTTGCTCCTCTTGGACTTTACTTCCTTCTTGTATTGGAAGTAAAATATAGCACATGAGGTCAAGCACTTTTTCGCATGTTTGCTACAAAAGAAGAACACAAAGGGACAATGATTCTTAGACTACATTTACAGTTCTTAAAATTAAAAAGTATTAAGAATGATTAAAACTTGCAGAGACTGCAAAACAAAAATACAGTCACAAAATCCTCTGCTGGAACTTAAGTGGAATTATTAATGTGTAGTATGGTTTGGCTGGGCAAAAAGAAATAGCCGTGATATGGATTGCATTAAACTCTCTCTGGAAGCCCATACAAGCCATTTGAATTGTGAAAACGTGTGTATTTGCATTCTTCATTTGAATGATGTAAGATCAATAGAACTGCGGCAAAAAAAATATATTAAAGAATTATGTTTTCAAATTCTTATAAATTTTCAAAAGCTCGTGTTAAAGATGAAAAAGGAAAACAGGAATGGCATGATGGAATTGCTCTACTTTTTAATGCTAGATCCCAGAGACTGTAGGAGGTCTGAGGGGATATATAATCAGATTTCTAAGCAAGCTACAGAGGAAGGAAAGAAGACTAGTCCAATATCATGATTGTGGCATTAGATCCCTTCAGACCCAGCCTTTATTATTAGCTCTGTCTGACTTCAGACCACTATACAATTCTGTAACTGTAAAAACAAAGTATTTATTGCAAAGGGAAAAGCAAGTTCAGAGGTCAGGCCAGACAATATTCTTTTGGAGTCTCATACACCATCAGCTGATAGCTACATTTTTTTTGCAGATGATAACAGAAATTTGTTTTGTTTTGTATAAACTTTTCTTGCCTCTCCCACATGAGACCTACACACATTTTTTCCCCTAATTTTTGAAATGGAAACTGCATAGTTAAGCGATTCAAACCAAGATGGCACTTACAGACCACTTAAAAGATCAATAACTATGGAAGATTCTAACTAAACCCCCCAAATCACAACTAACAAGTAGACAGCATACAAGAGATACTAGTGAGAAGTCAAGTTAGATGTGGCAGCATGTGTATTTCTTCCTCCTGTGAAAGCAGGCAATTTTCTGCACAGCCTGATTTGTATCTGCCCCATACCCTATGGGACGAGGGCTAATAAGAAAATTCCAGAGAAGGTACAAGCAGGAAGGACAGTCAATGAGGGACTCCTTTTTTTTTGGATGTTGTACGTACCCTGTACTCCCCAAGGGCGAAGTGACACGTCGCTAGCTGGATTAGCGCTCTCTGATTTTCTAGAGAGCCTTGTCCTGTAATTGGCTGTGGCGGGTGGGAGCCCTGAAGAGCTGCCAAGTGATGTAGACTGCTAATGGCTTTTTTGTACTGTCCCTTTTAAAAGAAAGCACAAAAAGACTGCATTAGGTTCTTCCTATACAATGTATGCAATGCTGAAAGACAAAAATAAAATTCCCTTATAGAAATCTTTCAAAATAGAGGGTGCCCAAATAAAAACGTAACAGAAAACATTGCAGTGATGTGGCACGTATAGGAGTGTGGATCAATCCCTTGCAAGGCAGCAAGAAGACAAAAAAAAGGAACAGAATTCTGTTGGAAAATGAAAGTTTATAAAATTGCACTTACAATTGAGACAAATAATCATGGTCTTCTAAGTTAATCATTACTCTAGTTTGAAATAGCTTTTCTTAAGGTACCCCAAAAGGAAACACAGAAAAGAACCACCTTTGTTCTGTGGATGGTAGGTGGAACGAGTAGTCAGCCTCATTTCTGATTGTAATAATAATCATTTAGTTTAACTGAGTCATCTTAAAACTCGCTGCTGGAAAGTTCTTGTGACTGCTCTCCAGTAGATGCATTGATTGATAAATAAATTGTGCTTCTGGCCCTATGACTGACTGTATGTACTATTCAAAATGCCAACACGGTGGTCTTTTCCATATGCCAAAACTAGCAGTAGTCATCAACAACAACAACAAAACTATCTTAAGAGAAGTATTACAAGTAGGGTATCTAGCTTGTGGTAAGAACATATAATTCCATCCTCAAAAGGGTCACACTTTAAAGGATAAAAATCAGTAGACACTTACAGCAGAAGAAAATGACTAATCATGACAGCTTTCACTGGAAGAAAGAACAGTGAAATGGCATCAATTTACTGTGCTTTTTTTTTTTTCCCCTATATTTTTACCTGGTAGATGATCATGTCTGTGAGAAAGATTCTCAACCAAAGCCAAGTATCCGTTTTCCATGACAAACAAATTCTGGTGAACTCTTAAGTCGGCAGAAAGCGGAGAGGAAAGAGAAGAGAAAAATGAAGCATTTCAGAACTTCTGACTAAGAATGTATTTTTCATTTTTATAGAATTTACATTAAAGAATGAAATGTCAGTCGCCTACTATTATCAGCACCACTACTAACCAATTGCTCCTTCTGAAAAAACTGTTCCCAAAAAAAGTGTGAGTAAACAAGCAGAGACACATGAAGAGGGCAGCAAAATTCAGAAGCAAAATCCAGTGTAACAAGTAACACTTCCTTTTGAAACTTCAATCGGTGATACTTGGGACCCAATGCATTTTAAGGATTCTCAATGATCAGAATTCAAATTAACAGTACTAAAATTATTTTTAACTTACAACAACGAAGTGTAAAAGCAACTCTTCCTGCAGTTATCCTTACCTTTGTCGAGTGATTCCAGAGAATAGAGCAGCTCCCAGCTCTCTCTTGCCAGTTTAAAGCTCTCTAGTACTTCAATAGAGTTTGCAAGATCTGCCTTATTCACTGTAATATGGCGACTTCGGCCTTTCCCAGAAGGATCCTCATCATCTGAGCTCTGCTTAAGAGTAATCATAAAAAAAAAAAAAAAGAGTTCACTTCTAATTTACACTTATTTCAAAGGCTTTTACTTACTTTTAAAGTAACAGAAGTTTCATTTAACACATGAAAACAGTTGTGTGCTAGAGACTGAAACTTCCTAGTGCTACTGCCATTAAATGGCTTTTCCTTATTTCACCTAGCTTGTTCTAATGTTAGCACCTCCTTTACTGCTATGGAGAAATCCAGAGGTCTAGTACGATAAGCAGCACCACAAAAGAGGCCATTCAAAATGCAGGTGTCATAACCAGCGATTTCCAGGGCATCACTAAAAACCATGTCTAGTCCTTCTGCACCAAAGTCCTCCTGCGCCAAAACCACTGTTCTCCAAATTCTAGAAACAAGACGTTCTTGGTAAGAAGGAAATAGTCTGGAAAAGTTACCATTGTTTTCTCCCTTCCTTCTGCAAGTTTCCTCTTTTTGTGTATGTGTTTGTTACGATCAATATCTGTATCGCCGTAGATGTTGGTCACATCTTCGAGAAGAATCAGTGGGGCTTGGTTTGGGGCATTTTGACCTGGTTTTGAAGAGAAATAAATACAACGTTGTTCTAAACTGCGCAGGAAGGTTTCATGGCCTACTTCAAGCTGGCTTTGCTTCCTCCAAGATTAAAATGCTAGAGAATACAATTGGAAATTAAATTACTTTGCAAAAGCTTAAGCTATGTTGGTGAAGTGATGCATTTCTTAAAGTAGCCTTTATGGTAAAGATCACTATTTACCAAACACAAGAGTTTCCCTGACATTTGTAGAATTTATTTATCCTCTTATAAAGGAGCCAAGAGATATATGTTCAAGCAGCACGTTTTCTCTCATTAAACCTTTCTATTATAAGTTATTATTAAATTTCACTAGCTATAAAATGGAACTACACTCCTTAATCTCAAATAAAATTATCATGCGTTCAATTCTGAGAAAGCCTTTCCCCAAAACATTTTATACTTTAACATGCAGTCAAATATCATAGATATCAGAGTCCAAAGAGAAAATTGAGGGAAAGGGGGAATCCATTAATCTCTTTTCCCATTTTAACACCTGTGATATACAAGGAGTGCAGATGAGTATTTTCATGGGTATTTGTTCTGCTTGTGTTTGCAGAAGGACACAAGCCTAAGGCCTCTCTCAAAACCACTAAGAACTTAACTTGGAATCTTGGTATAAGAAGAATCTATTTTGTATCTTGGCATAAGAGAATCTCTATTAAGCTTTTCTACTCAAAAAAGTTGTTCTAGGAGGCCACTACAACAGCAGCCAACACTACAAGGAGCAGCCTAACAAGAAATGGTGTCATGTCCATTGACTATGTTCAGCCCAGATCCTCCTGTTTAAATGTCCTCTACCCAAAGGCTGCAACACACTGTAAATCCCTTCTCTTGCATCACTGTGTATTCCACTGTGTTCCAGCAGAACCCATCTGAACTTAAAATGGGGCCAAGTGATAATGTAGAAAATAGCACCCATGAGAAACCATGAGAAATGAAAGTGCCACAGCTCTTCCAGTAAGATCTGAAGAGCTGCATGCTACAACACTGAAGTCAGAAGTGTGTTTTCCTTTACATGTACTGCTTTAAATGAATGCCAATTAAGCAAGTGCTTTGCTTTCTAGACACTTATTCAAAAACCTCCTATCCTGAATCAAATCAAGACAAACCAAGCCTTTACTTGCACTGCAAACTCTTTTTTACATTAATGAAGGCTATACACAGCCATATAAAAAGATGTTGTGTCTTTGGCCTAACCATGCTCTAGAAGCTAAGCTTGCAGTTCTTTCAACTGACTTCTAGCACACAGCACTAAAAATAAGCCCCCAAAGCAGCAAATCAAAGAGCGACTCCCGCCAATCCTGCAGGCAGCCCAAAAGAAGTCTGAATTGCCTCATTCATTTCTCGGGTCTCCAACAAGGCAGAATGAATTATGTAAGCGGAGTGCATTGATTTTTTTCTCTCAAGAGGTTCCTTGCAAGTCTGTGCATGTGACAAAAACAAAACAAAACAAAAACCCACACAGAAAAGGGCTCAGAGCTGCTGAACTGAGAAAGAGATTTTATTTCTCTCCCACTGTATTTCCTGCTTCAAATACATAGACTCTGCTCCTTACTTTTACAGAGAGGAGAGGGAAAAGCCCTGAAGACATAAAAGACATGAAAGGCACTGAATACCACTGAGCTTTAATGCCAACATAGAAATTATTACAATATATCTTGAAAATATAGAGGGCCTCACTCTATAGTTATAAAAGTTTTGTGGACTTCTATTATGGCACAGATTTTACAACTATTTTAGCTCTTTCCTCTGCCTGACAGGTTTAGATCCTGTGTGACTGCATCCTAGTTAGTTAGGGAACTACCTCGGCTGAGGTCGCTATTGTTTTTGGATGTCACTTCTTAGGGCTCCCTCCCTCACACCTCTACTCTTAAGCTTTATATCTGATATATCTTACCTCCTTTCTGTGGTAAAGCAAGAATGTAGCATGGAAAATGTCAGCTGCAGGGGACCAAAACTGTAAGAATAATGTTACAAATGATGGTGAGGGTATCCTCCATTGGGAGGATATTAGAGAGGCCTCCCATCACCTTCAACGATGAGCTTCAAGATTAATGAGAAAAGAGATTTCAGATGTTAATGAAATTGTAAGAAGTTTTTTAAAAAGTTGAAGTATTAGAAACTAACCCTGGAAGAGAGACGGCTGGATGTTGCTGACATACTGGAATGCGTTTTTAAAGAAGACCAACATCGTGGAATACACTACTTGATTCTTGTATTTAGCATGTGCATCACTATCAAAGTTGCTGATGTATCTGCAGAGGTCTTTCATTCTGTGCAAAATATCACCAAAATTTCTGAGGAAGAGAGAAAGAATATAAGTTAATTACAAATCCATCACAAGGAGTAAAAAATTGAAGGAAAGGATGCATAGTGGATATGAAAACACTAATGTTTTGGTTTGGGAAATCTCCCTGATAGTACACATAATGTCATCATGACAACATCTTTCTTAAGCCCACCTCACTGAAGAATTAAGCCAAATCATCCTGGAGAAGCAGTATTTATGCATTTCTCACCTTCTTCCTTTATCCATTTGCCATTCACATCTCATTCCCACCACAGACAGTATTTTAAATAGCCTCTCCCAAGGATCTGTAATCTGGGATGATTTCTCTGTGAGACCATCTATTATATATTTCTGAGAGCTACGTTTGCTTGGAGACATAATATCAGTGGAATCTTGTGAACCTGGGAAAACAAGCATGTTTCTCACTTTATACAGAAATCACACCAACAGATTTAATTTCAAGAAGGAAAAATGTAAATTCAGTTTTATGAGTAACTACCTATTACTGACAAGGCTGACAAAGATCATAGGCACTCCTCCCTCCTCTTACAAGAGCTGGCAAGGCTGAAATAAGGAAATTCGGACATTTTGTCCTCATTTTTAGTACATATATTATGAGAAACAACTAGTTAAATGATAGCAATGTATTTTGGTATCTGAGACATAAGAAACATCAAATACTATTATTAATCCTGTTCTCCAGCAGACAGTATTCTCCATTTATACTAGGCCCTTCAATAATACTGAAATATACTTTTAGAAAAGGCTAATCTTACCTTGATACTGGCTTTCAGTCTGTGTAGATCGAGTTACATAGTTAATATAAAACTCTGCTGCTTTATTCAGATATTTATATAGCAAGCTGGCAGGAAGCCGAACATCAGGGTTGTTGATTATGAGAGGAAGAACATCACAAACTAAAACATATTTATTTAGGGAAAAGAAAAAAAAAGTCTTAGGTTTGTTTTGCTTTCAATGATACTTGTTCTAAACTTTTCAATCAGCAACACGAGCCTCTGCCTCTGGCTGACTATATACTACACAGGATCACAAAGCATAATTTGGCTTTACAGTGGTTCATAGGGTCAAGCTGGACTAACTCAGCCTGAACGTGGTCTGAATAATGTGGTTTCCTTATCAACACATCCTGAAAACTAAACTATATTTCGTTGGTGAAACTATAGTTTACTAAACTATATTTCGTTGGTGAAATACAATCGCAGTTAAAATGTTTTCAAAATAAATGAGAAAGTGCCCTTATTGTTCTACAAATCTAATTCTGGTTGCCACAGCAGTAAATAATTGTTGTAAACTGCTGTAGAATATTAAGAAATTTAACAGATGGAGGTACAGAAAAACTGTAATTTACAGTCGAATTGGCAAGATGGAAATCAAATGAAAGATTTTGCTTCAAAGTTACAGCAAAAACTGGTTGACTTCAACAACCACTATCTTAACAGAATACTAAGTTTATTAAATTATACAGTAAAATAAGCACATCGATCTTTATTTTTGCTTACCAAATAATTTTCTAAAACAATTCACTGGGGATTCTTGGTCTTCAATACTTTCAGCTTCTAATAAGGTTTCTCCAAGACCTACCTGTATAAGCAGAGGTGGGAAAAAACAAAAAAAAAGAACACTGAATTTTAGAAACTCTTTAAAATATGTGATGCAATGATGCTAGGCTGATTCAGCAATGATGCTGAAACATTCAGTGGATACATCCGTAGCCTAACTATAAAGCAACTCCCTAATATGTTAATCTCCATTTAGTTAAATTGTCTCTATTAAGTAATTGTTGAAAGCAAAACCAAGTGACAGCAAAACCAGGAGATAACAAAACTGTGTATGTGCCTATATGTCAAGCAAAGGTATGGCCAGATCGGTGGCAGAGATGGAATTATCAGCGCTTGAAAAGCTACTGCTTGTCAGCTAAACAGTGGAAACAGACCCTGTACTCCTTGCCTGATGCAAAAATGACAACTGATTTAGCTAACTTGTTCTGGGGTTAACATGTTTTACTTGCTGTCCACAATAACCCAAAGACTGTAGGTCGTCATGTACAGCGCTCGAGCAGCAATTCAGGAAGGCAGAGCAAGCAAACGGCTTGTCACAGGCTGGTCATGACCTCAAAGCACTGTTCCCAGAATGAAAGCTTACTGCGAAAAGCTGAAGCAATATTACTTTGTAGGCTATAGAATTCCTCTATATTCTTGTTTTGTGCTTTTCTGCCTTTTCTTTTTTTTAACATGGAAACTTCTTTGCCTTTACAAAGCAAAAGTTTGCTTTATTTACTCGCATTTCATGCACATAGAATTCTTTAGTGTTGCTAAGCCTCAAGGTATTGCCACATGAACTGTCAGACTCAATTAAACACAAATAAAAACCAATCTCCCTCCCTAGACATGACAAAAGCTATTTCGATAATATATCAAGAAGCAGAATGACGATGCTGTGCATAGTTAAATGGGTAATTTTTCTCTTACCCCGTGTTGTACGACAGTCTCCGGAAAGCGCCGCAGAAGGAGCAGGAGCATTTCTGCCCTTTCTAGTGTGTTAAAACACTGCTCTGTGGCCTTTAGTAACATTTCGCACTGGACTCGACCAGGAAGGGTCTCAAATAATCCTTAAAAACAGAATTGTTCAACTTAGTAAGTTTCACTTGCAAAGATGGTAGACAAAAGGATAAAAATGCAGTCAGCATCACCATCCCAGCCAGTGAAAAAAAAGTCCTTGTGTCTTTCTTCAATGAATGTAAGACTCTCTCTCAAAAAAAAAAAAAAAAAAAAAAAAAGGTGATTCTCTCAGCAAAGCCCACATGAATATGTATCTATTCATTTTGTGTATAGAAAATGACTTAAAAAAGCAAATGTGATTGAGTGGAATACTGAATCATAACCCTTAAATACTGAACATCTTATGATGCCTGTGGTGATTTATTAAAAAAAATAATAATTACATCCCTCCCTTTTAAAATTAACACTTTATATATATGAAGTGTCTTCTTCATTTTAAATTTTCAATGAGACATTGAAAAGAAATCAACATACTGGTACTCTAATTTGTACATATTCTCTCTGAAAAAATAAGTAATAAAAATGCAGAAATGTTTCTTCAACTAGAATAGCTTGCATATGAAGAGTTGTACACTGCTGCTCCTTACAGCTCCTCCGGCACATCTTCAAAAAATGTTTATTTGCAACACTAGATAACCAGAGGACTCACCAAATAGGATCCTTACCTCTTAAAAACTGTGTCTGCTTATCCTGGGAGTCATTCCTTAATGCCGATGTAATGACGCTGATCTCTCGCCACACTGCAGGTTGGTCTGGAAAATTCACAAACCTGCAATACAGTTTGGGGCAAGAAACATGCTGTAACCTCAAAGTAGTTTCCTAACAGAAAGCTTCCTACAAAAGGATTTACCTGGACAAATAGCAAATGACATTTTGCCTTTTTCTAAGGCTTTATTTCCTGCTTAGCTTATCTATGCAGATTTCTAAGAACACTAGCGTTGTATTTTTTGGAAACTCTCGTATTTATTATTTTGGCTGTGATACGAGGCAGTGCAGCCACTTTACTTACATGTCATAAAGCAGCCTACCCGCCGACGCCGTCCGTTCGGCGTTCCTCTCGATGGTGTACATCTCATACTGCAAGGTGGGAGAAGAGCTCGTGAGCTTTTACGCATTTGTGTACACATTTACGAGCACATTTATGAAGCAAATCAGGTGTTTGGCTCTAAAGGCTCATCCCTAACATGCCTGTTGTTAGGCCCATGTCTGAGAAAAAGAAAGGGAGGGGAAAGGATGCCAACATCTCCTGCAGAAAGTAACAGCAGAATTTGGACTATTTAGCTATCTGCAAAGTTTATAAATAGCTTCCGTATGCTAATACAAGTATTCTAGTATTAACACATTGAGGGTTTTTTTTTTTTTTTTTTGCACAAATAAAAAGACCAGTAAGAACTCGATAAACTTGTTTGTGGACGAAAACAGAGTAGAATCCCACAGTGCTACAAAGCCACAGTACTTTAAAACTGTTAGAACGACTTTTAGCAAGAGCAAATGCAAACATTGCCTCGTGTTTCCTTCACACAATAAGGACGAAGGATCCCTCCGCCCTCTCACTTCATTCATGAGAGCTTTGTGGGAGAAGCGTTCCGTTTAGTGCAATGAAGGGCAAGGAACGGGCCCGTTTTCGCAAACATTTTATTCTTCGCTAGAGGGGAAACGCCGCCGCCTCAGCGTGGCCGTTAACGGACAACGAACGGCCGCGGCGGGACGCCCAGTAACCACGGCAACAGTGGGACCCGCCCCCTCCGGCGCCCCATTGGCGGGCGCTGCCGTCACTCAGGCGGCCGGCGCCCCAAGGCCATGTGGGGCGCGCGACGCCCGCAGCCCGGGCCGGGGCGGCGGCGGTGGCGGCGCCGCTCACCTGGATGTTGAAGTCGGCGGGGTAGAGGCTCCGCGCCGTGATGAGCCAGGCTTTGGCCGCCCATAGGTCCCCCGGCACCAGCTCGCGGGCCCGCTTCACCAGGAACTCGCAGTCCCCTTGCGCCGACATGTTGCAGGCGGGCGGGCGGCGCGCATGCGCTCTGCCGCCGCGGGCCCTCGCTCCGGCGCCGCCGCCGAGGCGGAGGGCGGTGCGCGGCGCCGCCATTTTGGGGGCGGGTGGCGGCGGCGGTAGTGACCGTTGGGGCCGTGCGCGCGCGCGGGCGGGGGTTGGGGAAGCAGCCGTTGTGGAACGGGGGCTTGGGGGCGTTGGGGCAATAATGTCGAGTCCGGGAGCCTGCCCACCGAATGGAATGTGTACGGGGAGACGGGGCTGAGGTAGGGGGACCTGTCTCCCTTGCTTGGCACCTCCTGTGCTAGGGGACTAGGGGACTGTGGCCACGTCAGGCTCAGGAACCCTTTTCCTCTCTCTTCAGTGTCGTGGATCCACCAGGGCTTATAGACACCTGAGCTACAGTTGCAGGTTTTGCTGTTCATCAGTGCTCCCCTGTAGTGGGCAGTGCTGCACAGCAGAGCACCCTTTGGAAAACCCAAAGCAGAACTGCCACAGGCGGAGTTTGTGCTGCCCGTGAAGTTTTACAGTACCCAAGTGACAAGCAGCAGATGGCAAGGAGGAGCAGGGCCTTTCCCACATTCACCTACCTTTCACAACCTGGAGGTTAACATTTCCTTATAATAGGGACCTTAATTCAGTTGTCTGGATGCTTTTTGAATACAAGTGATTACAAGCCCAACTCTTTACTGCTTCTGTTCTTTACCCAGGATGATAATTTCCCCATCTTCTTCTTTGTTGTTGTTGTACAAGGCACACTGCAGACTTTGGACTTGGGAACTTCCATTGATTAAATGCACTATCTAGGAGATAGTTCATCTGTTTAACAAACAATTGTAATAGACTTTTGCTCTCTGATGGAGATAAGTCATAAAGGACAAAATCTGTTTTGCTCTTGCGTTTGGTGTCATATACTTTGCCGCCTTCTTTCTTCATTATCACATAAGGCCAGAAAATGCTGATCGTTGTTCCGGACAGTGTGTTCTTATTGGCAGAGCTGCAGCAGATTTTTAGCCCAGAGGCACCGCAGAGTCCTTGGCCTGATTTCTGGGATGGAGATTGAAATATCAAGGCCTTGCCCGTTTTCTTATCTCTCTTTTCATGCACCAGTCACGTGCAGTCTGAAGGAACACGAAGTAGAAGATTAACTCGCCATTCAGAAGAGTGATAAAAGCCACATCAGAAGAGCTGGTGTCCCTCACACAACAGACTCAACCTTCTCTAGGCTAAATAGCTCCTCTCAGCCTTTGGACATAGGAGAGCTGTTCCCATCCCTTAATCATCTTTATAGCCATACGTTGTAAAGCATCTTTTCCTCAATCAACAGCTGCTTGGTTGTTCACTCAGCCCTCCAGGGAAAGGGGAGAGAGGCGTCATATAAATAGTGTAATTTACGCCAGGCAAGAAGTCTGAAGGGGACATTGTTCAGACTTGAGAAGTAGGAGCCACCTGAAGAGGGCTCAAGCTTGGAAGAAGAGTAGAGTTAATGGGGACTTTGGGTGTCATTCTCCACCTTCTAATATTCTAGAGGGTGAGATGTGGAAGGCATGAATCCTGGTGGTGTCCTATGGGCAGGGCTTTGGAGAAGAGATTGGATGCTGAGCTAGCTGTGCAGCAAGGTCCGAGGTGTCAAAAACTAGCGGTCAAACCTCATGTGGTGGTTTTTGATCCAGTTAGATGCCTTTGGGCTCTTTGAGGAGCAATTTCTACAGCTGTCTGAGCTGTGTGAGACTGAGAATTTGAGGCTGAGACCAAGGGGCTTGCAGCTGAGAGGCATCTGAGTGGCAGGGCAGGAGGAAGAACCAAGGAGATTGGTAGTCCAAGTACAGAACTGCACTGGGCCGTATATGTCCAAATGTACAGACATTTGGGATCCGACACATATCCCTCTCCATAGACGAGTATCTTGTTTATTGGTGGCAATGTCACAAGTGTGCATTTTTCAGCAGATGTAGTGCCTTCTCGTGAAGCAACACAATGGAGATCTACCTCTAGGCTTGCCTGTAATATTTAAGTCAAAAATCCTGCTTCAAAATACTGAAAATCTTCTGGCCCCATCTTAACAGACTCCTCTAAGATACTTGTGCACATTGGTAAGATCCCTTTTCAGCCTTCTCTAGGTTTAGGCAGGTCCTTTCAGCCTTTCATCATGTGAGAGAGTCCCCTAATCATCTTTATAGCCCTACCCTGGACTCACTCCAGGAGTCTGTGTCTCTCAAATCCATTTCATTTCTGCAATAGCCTAAAGCAGCTGCTATTAACTGGCCTGATTTTCGTGAGAGTATTAAACAATTTATGTTGAAAGGGATCTCAAGAGATCTCCGGGTCCAACCACTTACTCAAAGCTTCCAGAACTACAAATAATGATGCTTTTACGGGCCTAACAAACCCCCCAGCCCTCCACAGCAGAGAACAAGCGTTCGGTTTCCCTCAGGCTGCAATTTCGTAGTGCTGAGCGGTGGCAGATTTGTAATGGGAAACATTTAACTAGTCGTACAGGCAGATATTGCTCTTAGGAGGAGTGTTAGGCTGCTTTCCTAGCCCTTAGCTCTGGGAAACTGCACTGAGTTGTAGTTCTCCTGCACGCCCAGCATAAACAGCGTTATTAATCACCGTAATCTCATTTGGCCGAGGTTACATTTATGTGACTGCAGCGGCACTGCGGCTGAAGCGCCCAGGTGCCATGAGAGCATAAGCACTGTGTTGATTACAGCTCTGCTTGCTGCACGCAGGGGAGCTTGGATGGAGTGCATGGGCTTCAAAGCCTGGAAAAGACCATCTTTAACTTGTAAACTAGGTGAACTTTACCCAGAAATTTATCGTGCCCCTTACAAGGCAAAAGGGGGAGTTGTTTTCAAAGGGAATTCAGGCATTTGTGACCTCTTACTCGACCAAGCTGCCTTTTCTTGCTTTTATTGCTGAGTGAAGCTCAAAATGCAGTTCAACTGGCCGGACAGAGGCACCTAGATGCGAGCAGGTTGAACTGTGCTCTGAATGCCTTTGCTTAGATGCCTGTTGCTTGTAAGAGGGATGCAGGGTCATTTCCTGGGATGCGGAGAGCTGTATAGCAATTCCCCATATTTGGTGATGAATGTGGATTTATTCCCTCCAAACCAGGCTGCTCAATTTCCTCGCTCTCTCCACAGTAACCATAGCACTTCCGGCCCTGATGGAGGCTTTTGTCCTGGAGCCCTTCTTCCCAGGAGAGCTGCTTCCCAGGAGAGCACTCATCCCTTGCAGCACCGGCCACAGAGCCATGTGAGCCCTCCTGCTGGTAAACACAGAGCACCTGGGCAGCACGTGCCCACTGAAGTCCTTTAATCGCTCCGTGCCGCTTGCTCTGCAGCGTCCTAAGGGAATCGGGATGGAATTACATTAGAGACTTCCTCTGTAAGTGCAGTGTCGTTGAGAATTCCCTTCCAACAGCACGCTGAATGCCGTAAGCAGAGAGTTCCAGCAGCCAGTCAGTCAGCGACAGCCTCCTGTGCTAGTGACAGTCACTATTTGGAGTATGTATTTCCCCCCAGAGCACACGTTTCCTATACGTCTCTGTGTACGTGTGTGTAATTCCCTCCATCACGTGCAGCAGAACCAGCAGCATGTTTAGAGACACTGTCCTTGAGAGCGATGGCCTCTGGAAGGAGCGCAGCTCCTGTCAGCGGAGTGGGACTGTCTCCAGCCCACGATGCTGGGAGCATATTGAAAAGCTGTCTCCAGCGAGAGCTCGCCAGTTTAACAACTCCGCTCGCTGTTCCTATTGCACAGTGAGCTCTTTGACGCAACAGAAAGAAAGAGCTGCCTTCTTTTTTTTTTTTTTCCCTTTTGCTTTGCTTCCTCTTAAATCCGCCTGGCCAATTTAAAGCTTGTGGATATACTTTCCTCCTCAGGGAGGGCTTATGTGAGGATTTTCTATTTTAACAGTTCGTTCCACGAGACCATTTTTCTTCATTGTTTGCTGTTAGAAAATGTTGGAGCTGAACACAAGGCTTTCATTGCAGGTCAGTGGATGAACTCTTGACCAAAGCGTTTAGCATTCAAGTGTAGCTTTAGAAAGCACTGTAGTTTGGGAGGGGAGAAAAAGCAAGCGAGTGGGGTTGTATCCTTTGAGCACATGTGTACTGCTGGACCAGAAGTCTTTTCAGATCTTCAGCGACTGAGTGAGTTCTCCACAGACGAATTTGCTCGCTTTATTTTGTAGACAAATGTGCCAAATTAATATTTTATTGAAAGCAGTGAGATGACATCACATTCCTGTCTATATTATTTAGTTCCTGCTTGTCTGCACTCTCTCAAAATGCAATCAGCTTTACTGGGAATTTTAAAAACAAAGTTTTTCCTTTTCCTTTATTTTGAAATGATTATCTTTTGAGTTATATGTTTTTTTCTTTTCAGCACATTGAACTGGGAAGCATGTTACTCCTGGGCACATGCTGTCTGCAGGGAATATAGTTATTTGCTGTTTTGTATTTGTGTTACTTACTCTTTTGTTTTTCTTCTTAGATGTCTATAAAGAGAACTCGGAAAGGATATAGACATATTGCTAATGTTTCTCTTCAAACTGTGTCTGAGGTAAGGCAATCTTCTTTCTCTGTTTCTGTACTGTTCTGTAATGTACTGTTTCGGTACATTAAGCAGGTTCTGTATTTTTCATGTATATTTACTGAGATTTTTCTGTTGTTACTTTTTCTCTCCAATTATAAAATATGAATATCTGTCCATTACAAAATTGTATTTTGTGTATGCAACACTAAAAATAGTGTATTTTTATTCCAACACTATCTGCATTTGCAGATCTGCATGTTTCTCTTTGATGGTATACCCTAAATTGGGAGAATACTTAAAAATAATGATAAAATGGTTTTATAACTGATTTGATTTTCTCCTCTATTATTTCCCCATTAAGTGTGCGAGCAAGTGGTTTTCTTGCCCTTGGTAGGCAGTTCTTCTGCAAACTTTGTAAAACTGGATTATAAATTTTTTCCACTATGAATCACTTTCCTTGTAGGATGACTTTTCTGGAAATGTTTAAGTTAATTGTTTTCAAGTATATACAGTATGTTTCTGGTGTATTGTTTTTTAATAGCTCTCCAGATTTCTTTTAAAAAGCATCAAGAAAAACAGTGATTCCTATCAAGTTGCTCATTTCCTTATCCACTTCATGTTTCAGTTATGAGAAGTGTACAGTTTTCCAAGCTATTGAGTCATTGTTTGTGAGGGTTGGTTCAGCTGAAAGGTGTCGGTGCAACATTGCCCATATGCAGCTGTGCTGTAAAAGGAATTTGTATGGAATACCACCGATAGGGACTTATGGTGATTGTCCTGGGAATTAGAAAATATTTTTTGTTTGTTTATTTTTCAAGCAATTTAATATATTAGGATACCAAGGAGATAGATTTTTATTCTATTAGTTTCTGTGGCAGGATTCCCATGTTTATAATTCAAGATTTTGACAGATGCCTTCTGTCATTTTACTGCTATTTAAATCAAACCCTCTGAATCTTCATGACATTTCTTACAAGGGGAAGTTTGTCTTCAGGCACGCTGTACTGCAGATCCAGAAACTTTTTTTTATTTAGAAAATCTTTTGAAATCTTTCCTGTCTGGTTCTTCACATCTCTGAAACAGTTTGTTGTTTGAGTAGGAGATGGTGGTGTGTCCATTCCAGAGATGTTGTTCTCCACTTGAAAAAAGGCTTGTTCTCTACCATATAGATTCTGAACATGAATTCTCAACTTGAATTTGCCCAAAATATCTAAACCTAAAGCTATATATGAAACGAACGCCACGATAATGCATTTTCAGAAATGTGTTCTCAGCAAGTGAGGTGTCGTTTCTCACCACCACTGCTGCAGAGGTGGCATTAGGCTGTGTGCTTTTCTTCCACTCCCAGTTTGTGAGGTAGTCAGTCCTGTTTCTCAAGGGGGATCTCCTATCTCGATTTGCTGACATTTCTCCTAGCTTGATTTTGCTGGAAGGCATGAATGGGGAAGAAGCATAAATAGTGCAGGCCTTCCGAGCTCGCCTTGGTGTATTCCTTGGGGGCTGGAGTGTTCTCTGCAATATCTTGCTCAATTCCATTGCTTTTTACTTACCAATGGGCCCTGGAGGTTATTTCTGTTTCTCCTGGTAATTATAGTGCCAGCTTTCTATCTGGCCAGTGCAGCAGAGGTTGTGGCTTCTTTTATTTCCCCTTGAATGCAGTGAACGGTGTCCGATTTTATTACCCCAGTTACCTGGTCTATGGATTTGCCACATCGTTAGGAAAGGCTCCCTGTTGTCTAGTTACCCTAAGTCACTCATAACTCAAGCCAGGTTAAGGGTAAATATAGTAAGAACATTTATTCGTAACAGCTACGAATTTAGGAAACATTTATAGACTCTATATTTGAAGACAGATTTCTTTGCCCTGTCCCACCGATTTGATGCTCTTCTGACAAAATGTTCTGCTTTGCACATTGCCTGCCCTTCAGGTTGCGTCTCTTGGAAAGAAACTGTTCTTACCTCTGTGATGAAAAAAAGCTCCATCAAACCACATCTTTCAGAGCACACCTCAGGTAATTTTTAGATTCTTGAAGTACCTCATTTCTTACAGTCAATCTTTGTAGTTTTCAGGCAGTGTGGTTATAGTCTTTCATCCCTAAACTCATTTTGTTATCCTGTCTTATCCAAAGCAAGTTAATACTGTTTTATTTAATTTAACTCATGTTCTTGAATGCAGAGAGATCTCTTTAGGACTGCATGTGTCACCTTCTGTGCTGCACTGACTGCTTTGCCACAGCTCTTCAGGACACATGGTTCAATGAAAAATGTCTTTCGAGTTGGGCCTTATTCACACAAACAAATATGTTAACATGCCATTCTACACAACTCTGGCTTTTCCCTGACACCATAAGCAGTGACATCTCACAGCGCATGAGGAGTGGCTGGTCCCTAAGCAGGATCACTGTGCGTGGTTGCCAGGCCATCCAAAACGTGTGATCAGCTAGGCCTGGTTAGGACTTTTCCTTTAGGGCTTTGGTTATGGTTGTTCAGTGTTGCAGTATGAAAATATTCTCAGGGTTTATTTTCAAGCAAAACCTGCGATTATGTCTTCTGGAGAGAGGGGATTTCTTCCACCAAGGGGAAACTACTTTTCTTTGAGGAAATAGATGTCCCTACCTGCAGGGTGGTCTAACAGCAGCTGCTTTGGGATCAGTGATGTAAGTCAGGTTGTCAAACTAACTTGAGAGGGAAGGTCCTGTATGGGGGTTAGGGGAAATGTGGAAAGGATACGTGCTGGGAAATAGTTTAGATAGGGACATATGAAGTAGAAGGTCGATCAACAGAAGACAGTGCAAAGCTGTGTGCTGTTGTAAAGGATGGATACACCGAAGGAGGCGACAGGGTAGGAGGCTTGTGGGACATGGAAGCTGAATTGTTAGAGCACCAAATAAATAGATCTGAGGGACACCTGGCAAAACTGCTTCTCTCTTAACTTGCATTTGATTCAGCTTTCCTCGTCAAATGTGCTTTTCTGACCAACTCTGCACCTGCAGTATGTGTGAGGGCCTCTGAGCACTGTCAGAATATTGCATGGAACGAGTTATGGCTGGAGTGATGCCATTGGCATGGCTGAAGAGAGGCCATTGGCAGAATGCCTTGAAGCTGGAGGGCTTGAGTGGGCCCCGTGATTTAGCTCGTTCGTATGGCCCCTTTCACTCAATCTTGATTGCATTTAGGCTCAAGAATAAAGACTTTGATAAAAATACATTACACTCAATGTCTCCCACAGCTTCCAGGAAGCTGCAACAACTCCATGGCAGTTGCCAACATCTGCTTCAAGAAATGCCATGAGCATATTGATCAAGCTGAAAGTGCTTTATCCCTTGGCTTATACCTTAGCTGCAGCAAAGCATCAAAAGGTAGGGCCTTAATAACAGTTTTCTACTCTTGAATTTGTTAACAGATAATAACTGATCAAGCAGGCAGTGTTTTATATACAGATTTATGTACTTTAGACTAGACTTACGTTAGAGTAAGTTGCTAACACTTTGTTCCATGCAAAGTCCCATCAAAGCCCATAATAGGAGTATTAAAAGTACATTCCCATCAAGCATCCTTCACGTCTTCCAAGTGTGCCCTGAGTTCTTCACAGTGGCAGTTCTCCTGTTCCTTGGTCACGCTGTTGTTGACACCATCGTGCCATTCTGCAGCTGAAGTGGTGGCCTGCTCCTAGCCCAAGAGAAGGGGCTTGCAGATGTGATGTCATTAATGTAGCAGGAACTACTGGATTTTATGAAGTAATTCAGGCATCCAAGTAAGTTAGTTTTTGCTGGCAATGTCTGTTGGGCAAAACACAGCAAAGATATCGGGGAGAAAAACTTTGCAGGAAATTTTCACCTCATTAAGCAAGCAGATGGAAGAGATGATGGTTTTCATTTCTGCATCTGATCTTGTATGAAGTGGGCTATTTCTCCTTAATATATGAATAGACAAAGTCGTCGTGTTGTGGTACTTTGATAACAGGGAAACATAAACCATGTGCTTGGACATGTGCAGTGTGCAAGCACCCACTTATTCTGAAATGAACGGATTGCAAAACAGTGTTTAAAAACTCTACTGAAGTGAAATCGCTGGGGAAGAAAAACGTTTCTCCCTTTTTCCTCTCCATTGTGTGACTCAGAGTGGTCTTGCAAATTACTGGCAAGAAGAAATGGAACAATATGCACTCCAGAAACCCTGGAAGAGTTTGTAAAGGCCCCTGGGAATTCTTTCTGCTGGAGAGGACTGAAGCTACAGTAGGTTTCTGGCTTGCTATTTCTGAGAGACTTTATTTTGGTAAAGCTTCAGCTATAAATAGTTGACACATCTTAAGTAGAATAGTTCTGCTGTCCCCCTCTCCAGTATGAGCAATTGGACCAAGATTTATCTGGCCGACAGCCAAGTATCAGTAATAATCAGCTGTTTCTAATGCTTTTCAGATTTCAGTGTAGTTCTGGAGCCTTCATGTTTTACATATATTGAAATGACTTTCAATAAAGCTCCACTTGAAATGGAGCTTTACCCTGGAGTATAAAATGATTCTTTCTCTCCATGTGTACTTTTAATGTGGAGTGTTCAGGTACCTAAGAAAACAACTTCTTTTCAGTTTGACTGTTCTGAAGATAGATGTAACGGCTTTGAAACATCCGTTTTTACAGGAATTTTTTTATTATTTGAAGGTGAAGCTTCTTCACTTCAGAGAAACGATTTTAAAATAGTTTTTGGAAAGCTTTTAAAAAGCTATTGGTAAGACACGGTACTGTGTATTCTAAAATAAGTTATCTCCACTTGTTTTCCCTCATCATATTTTGCTCTTGGAGAAAACATTTCTGAACAGAATATGTAACACATCAGAACATGGATTCAAATTATAGTAAATTAAACCTCAGAGAAATAGAAATATTTTCAGTTAATCCATTTGATATGAAACTGGTGGTTCTTAGATTAGAAGCCCAAAGGTTTTTTGAGTCACAGAGGGAGAAAACAGCTTAAAGAAAGCAGCTTTTATCTTCCAGGGTGCAGGGCAGTGAAAAGTGATCTTGTAAATTGTAATGGTGCGATCCTGAAGTTTACTCACACTTAACTGATCCAAGAATATGTATTTATGAATGAATTAATAAACCTTTCCACAAATATCCCCACTTTCTCTGAGAATTTTTCAGGAAATGAAAAGCGCTTATGTAACGTTCAAGGAATGAAAGGAAAATTTCCTAGCAGTTGAAGGGAAAATAATGCAGCACTAATATCTTCTGGAACTAACTGTGCCAAGAAACTAGTTCATTTTAACTGTAAAGCACCAGCCATCAAGGTGTGCTCTGATAACTTATCTTGGAACGCTGTAAGAGTATAATGAGATGGTGACACTAGTCTTTAGATGGAACGTCTGTGATTAAGTTCTCAGTGGGGAAGGGAAAAAACCTCCCACTGTAGGGTTAAATGCTTGACCCCGAGATTTCTGAGAACTACTATTCCATATGTAAAAAAAGATGCTAGTTCTTGCAGAGCTAGTGTTGCATTTATATTACCAGATTTCAGATGGCTTTAAGTTCAGTGTCTAGTTTAAGTTACTTAACAGGGTTTTCATGACAGTGAAGAGAAGGGAGTCTAGCGAGTGATTTCAACCCATATACTTAACCCATTTCTGATTTCCTTCCCTTATCTCAAGGCATAATTACAGTGAGTGTTATCATTATTGTCTCCGCTACAGTTGGAAATATCAAGGCACAGAGAGGGAGAATGACGTGGACAAGGTCATCTAGATACTGCCTGAAACTTGCAGCAGGGAGGAGCTTGCACAGGCTGGCATTCAGTTCTGTAACATAACCACATCTACCGATTGATCAAGACTGTCTTCCAGACCAGTTTCCAGACCATTTTTGCCCTGGGAGAGTGGTAGGAAAGCTGCTTTTGGTAATCCAGAAAGTTCCGTAGGTTTTTGGAAAGTCTCCGAGTTGCTTCTCTTCAGTCACGTCCGTGCAGTGAGCAAGCTTTACATGGAACAGTTTCCTTTAAGTTACAGCTGCTTTTTGCTGGCTAAATATTTAACTCTTTTGCTTAGCACACCGTGTCTTCCTTCTTAATCTTGATTTCATTATTTGATCCAGATTGAAATGAAACTCTTGCTTTGGCCATTCGGTATCTTTAGGACAGAGCGGGGAAATTTCAAAGTTGTGCTGTTGGTTTTCAGATTAGAAAGAAGCTATGATGTGGTGACTTTTCAGTAAATATTTGTCAGAATTCATGATGCTGATTTCAAGTTGTGGTGCCAAATTCAAACAGAGATGTGAATCTGCATCTGAATCCACATGGACTGCAGCTCAAACTGATAGGAAGCTGCTTTTGCTTTCATGCAGCACAGAAGTTCCAGAAACGATGGTTTAAAATTTATCCAAACATGACTTAGGTGATACAGGAGATAACAGAAGTCAAGAACTTCTAGTCTTGACCACTGAAAAATCAATTTAAGATCAGGGTGGCAGGCTGGGTTGTAGCTTTATGGGTGCAGGTGTTTGATCTTACTGACACCGAACCACCTATAACTACATAGGTGGGAAAACGGGAAAACTTCCGTGTTGTTCAGCTGTACAAAATCATCTTCCAGAGAATCCCCAGTTGGGATCATCCTGTAGCAACTTCTTCTGTCAGTGACAGTGTATCATGACCTTTTCTCACCACTTTTTGCTTTATTCTTCTCTTCTTCTTGTAATTTCTGAGATGCCCAGCTAAATAATAATAATCTTAGTGTATGTACACGTAAAAATAGAGCCTGGAATGACACGACTCCAGTCCGTGTTGCCATAGCCCTTTTCCACACCCGTTCAGCCAAATCTCCCTTTGGAGCCCTGCTGCAGAGATCCCTGTGTCAGCTTGGTTTCTGTTCGTATAGTCAGGATTTCTGTGCCGCTATCAAGAGAGATTGGTGTTTTCCAGATCAACGGACAGATTGTGGGAAGCAAGTAAGCGTCTTCGGAGAGTGCCTGGGGAATCAGGCTGCCATGTAATCTTAGTAACCCGTAAGGTTACCATATTGGATTTAAACGCTGCTTTTTATCTGCAACACTCCAGACCAATATAGTTTATGGATTAAAATCCCCCTCTTTTTCCATCATGCAAAGCTTTCTCTGACCCTTTCAATAGACACCATTGACTCTTTGCATCCTAGCTGCTAAGCTGGCATTTTCAGCTTGTTCAGGTTTTATCTGTGGCAGCAATTGAAATGTAGCTAAAGGTCTTGAGCCCTTCCACCCTTTGCAATATTTAGAATTACAGTCTGAGTCAAGCACGACTTCTTCCACATAGAAGCAGAGGCTTGTGCACCCTGAATTCTTCCCTTTTTGTCTTGGATATAAAGGTGTGGAAATAAAAGGCTCCTTCTTCTCCCGTGATCAGTTTTTCCTCATTCTCGGCCTCTCCTAAAGGAACAATTTTCAGCCTGTGGTCTGTGGGCTTCTAGAGCACGTGAACTGCTATAGAGACATTATGTGGAAAGTGACTGAAGCAAAAACTTATGTATAAGCTACTGCAGTGTTCTTATACGATATTCCCAATGGGGTCTTTGTCATCACTGTACATTTAATATGGTTCTAAAATAAAAATAACTTGGAAAAAAATGCTGTTTTGGAGATGTTTTACTGTGCAGAGCTACAAAATAGGTAGAAACTGGGAGAAATATCTGAAAAGTGCTAGAAATCTGCTTAACTTTGACCTGGGACAGCGCCTGCTGCCTGGGAGCTGGTGGAAGGCAGTGAGGTCCATCTGCTCCTACATCCTTGAGATAGTGATAGCAGTGTTTCCTGCTGGCACTTGGGATGGGGTGGCATTACATAACTTTCTGTTCAGAGCAGAGTCACACCAGCTTTTCCTTTCATCAACAGTTTGCTTTCCCATCTGCATGCTGCATTTTGCTTTTCTAACTTATCAAATAATGGCTATTTTTAGTTTGATTTTTGTGTTTCATATATTTAGAATCAATTATACATTTTGACTGAGATGGAAGATTTGAGATAAAGCAGAACCAGGCGTATCAAACTAAAGGTGAACGTCAAAAATATCCTTTTTTTTTTAATTGTATCCTTTTTATTTTCATCAGAGCTTTTATCATTCATATTTCAATGTAAATGTGCTGTTTTCCTGAAAATGCTGGGTTTATTGGCTTCTCTATAAGACATTATTGTTGGTGCTCTGAGGTGCTCTGAGCAGGATGAAAACATCCAGAGGAGTAATAGGGAAGCAGCACATTTCACTAATTAGGATAGGATGCTTCTTGAATGCATCTGTTTTAAAATCTGAACTTGCATTTCAAGGAATAGGCTGACCGTCTAAGTTACAAATAATGCAAATGTTTTTTGGATAGAAATTATTCTTTTTTTTTCCATTTTCTGACGCACCTGGTATTCTCTGAAGGAGACAACACACACCATTAAATGAACAACTTATCTGGTCTCTTCATATCAAATAACTTCTCTTCCCTATTGTCTTTTTCTTGGAATACACAGAGATCTCCCTCAGCTTCCCCAGTTTTACTGATGGCAGATTTTTGGCAGGCTTTTGATGCAAACTCAAGTTGCAGAGGAGAGAGTTAAAAAGGTGTGGTCATCCATGCCTGCTCTGACATAGAGCTTAAAATTGCCCTTTCTACGTGAGTTTTGTTTAAACCAGGTGTTAGGTTGCTTTTTAACTCACTCCATTTCCACGTGTTGACACCATGTGCTCTGAGTTCATTCTTTCCTATGGGATCGTTCAGTTGAGGTTTTCCAGCTAACATGTTCCCCCAACAGTTGCTGGCTGCTCTTTACTCACTTCCCTTCCCCTTCCAGGAAAGAAAGTGTTAAATATTCTTGCCTTTTCATTCTTAAAATCCTTGTCCTGGAAAACTCAGCCTGTTAAATTGATTGCAGCTAATCAAAGTAGACACTTTGCTATCAATAGAAGAACCTCTTTATTCTTTCAAGAGACATAATGTATTTGTGGATGATATCTTTCACTGATGTTTTGCTTCCTGTCATGTTATCTCAATGGCTCTTGCTGAATTAATTCCATGTTTATAGAGCAATTTTCAGGAAAGAAGCTCATGGAGATGTAACATTAAAGGAAATACAGGCCTCACCCAATTCCTCCAGAATCCTTCAAATATTTCATTAGGATGACTTGGTTCCTATTTACTCCTCAGCTGCGCTTTAGTGCTTATTAACAATGAAATTAATAGGAATAATCAGCTGTTGAGGACTTTGAACCGTTAATCCTATAATCCAGAACATGTACAATAATAACAACCATCCACAGAAGTGACTGGGACGCAAGGTACGCATCTAAGGGACTACAGAAAATGGCCAGATTTCCTTTTTCTAAGGTTAAAAAGACAGGCAGAGGAGAGGTGCCTTGGGGGCGGGTATGTTTCTCTCCGTTAAACTGCCAGGAGTTCTCTTGGCAAATGGTCTGATGTTATATTCCGCAGAGAACCGTGCTAAAAGGAGGAGCGGGGAGGAATCTATAATGGCATAGCAGCAGTTCCCCCCTTTTACTTGCCTAGTTTGCGTAGCTGTGCCAGCACATATTCCAGCCAATCTTGGTTAAAATAAAAAATAATGCTGTCCTTTGCAGGCAGGTTTCCATATGAACAGAAACAAAGACTCAGTAGCATGAAGCTTCATCTCCTAAGGAAATCTCTTTTCTTCAAAAATTCTGGTAGGTTATGAGGATTCTGCTTTTTTTTTTTTTTTTTCTTATTCATGTTTTATGAAAATCCTGATGTATGCTTCTTATTTCAGAAAACTGATTGCTTAAAAAGAAAAGAAAAACTAAGCTGAGAAAGTTGGATTCGCATCAACTTTGAGACTGCATTGTTAAAGCAAGCCAGGTACCTTTTAAAGTCGAATGCTAAAAAACACTATACTGTAAGTTCATGCTGTGTGTGTGTGTTATTTCTTAACTTTGTGTGAAATGCCGTGTTTTGCTTCTAATTGCAAACCCAAGTTGTTGTTTTAAGAGATGTGCTCTTTGGAACCTCTCAGGAAATGCTGACCCGACCGCGGGTTGTGCTTCTCCCGTGTAACAAAAGAGGGAAAAAAAGCCAATTTTTACTGGCAGAGGAAACTAGCTTTGCTCATGCCATCAATCAGCGATAGGTTAGAGAACCAGGATGCCTCTTCTGTGAACTATAAACATTTCTAGCTGTGCTGCTGTTTTGGAGAGCTGCTAAAAATGTTGTGACAATTATAGCTACAATTTCCATAGTAAACTATGGTTTTAATCCCAGATACTATTGTAATTTTCCAAAAAGAAACTGCATTTTTGATGCCTGATCTGGAAGCATTTATGTTACTTGAAATTAGTATATCAAGCAGCTGTGAGTCAGTATAGCAGACGATTTGTTTGCATTAAGATAGTTGGTCAAGAACTTAGAAGCTTAAATCCTATTTTCAATACAATTCAAGAATCAGAGCTCAAATCTTAAATTGGAACTGGAACAGCCTTCAGCAGGTGTCTCATTAATACTTAAAAATATGATTTGGGTTGCTTAACTAAGGTCTATAAAAATGCCATGCAATTCTCCTTAAAATTAAAACAAGAATGCTTTTTTCTTAAAGCTATTTGACCAAAACTAGAGGGATTTTTTTGGTAGGACCATGTCCGTTTTGGTATTGACTAGCATAGCGATTACTGCAAAATGGGCAAGACACAAATATTATGCAAATCCCAAATGAAAAATTGAAAGACATCTTTGGAAGCTTGCTCCGAAACGACCTAAAACCTGGTCTTTTCAGAGAGCTACTAGGAGGTTGTGTCAGCTTATCACAGAAATGTGAGGTCTTTGGACAGAGCCACGTCTCCACATGATGGCAATGGGATAAATGGGGTTGGGGGGCGCCTGGTGCTTTGTAGTACGTGCAGACATGGAGGAGGAAGGAAGTGTGGGGCTGACTCAGAGCACTGGCATCTTCCTGTCCATCAGTACTGACCGGGCTCATGGAGAAGTGTCTATCAGCAGAGCTGGGGGTTGGTACCTGAGCTTTGATGGCTCTTAGTGCTGCTTGCTTGAGAGCAGGGTGTAGAGCCTGGGTGCCAAATCTGGCAGCAATTATTTTCTGGCTCCTCATGGTTATTAGTTTGTCATCTAAGACTTGCTTTTCTTTTACAGTGAGAGCCAAATGGGAGCTGTGTATTTGTTTTTGCCCTGGAAATTCTTATCCAGACTAGATAAATGCAGTGTCTGTTTCTCTTTTTCCCTTTGGTATCAAACTAACTAGCAAACCTCATGTGAAGTACAGGGTGAGGGCAGAAGGTGATAGCGTTCTAGCAAAGATGGATATCCAGAGATTCGTATCTTGCCTGTCCAGCTCAATGGTTATTTTCTTTACAACTGACAATTAGGACAGTTTATTAATTCCCTCTTAAATGACTCGGCTGAACTCCAGGTCGAGCCAAATGCAAATTGGTCATCTCCGTTTTGGCAAAGTCCAAGGCGCTCTTTGAGAAGCTGCTTTCCCTAAGGCTTCAGGTCAGAGCTCGCTAATGAGAAGTGGTCCTGAGAGAGAAGCGTCGTGGCTCTTTGTCCCCGGTGTTAGCAGAGCGTCTCTGGAGCGACGGCGCCCGCTTGTAGGCTCTTCTCTCCAGCATTCTGGCTCGAGAGCTTGACAGGGGCTGTGATCTGTCTCCTTGCCCGATGGAGGATAAATGGAGTGAGTAATGGAAACTTCCACCAAAGTTTGTGAACACACTGGCTTCCGAAGGATTTCTGGCATTATTTGGTTACTATGTAGCAGGAAGAGGACAATATTACGTTTCCTTCCATTGAGCAGAGCGTTTTGCCTGTCTTCCTTTGCTGCAGATACAGCTCTGAAACATTGTACATAACGCGGCGACTCATGAGGGAGCAACCTGGATGAGTTCGGGAATTTCCGAAGAAAAGGTGGGTGTCTGACCCCCTGTCCTTACGGTTGTTCTCTGCAGAACCTGCAACAGCTAATGGAAATGCCCTAGAGCACAGCCAGAAATTGCACTGAGGATTTGGGGTGTTATATATCTACAGGCTAGTGTGTTTAGCAGAGAAGTACGGGGATGTAAGATAAAAGTCTGCATTTCTCAGACGCAAAAAAATGACTAATGTGAACTCATGCAATGGGTTTGTGTTACTGATCTGACAAAAAAATCCACATATCTTTCTCAGATAACGGAGTTCTGGGGGAGAGAAAGTAGTTCTGGGAGTGGAATTACTTAAGTAGTAGCCCTTTTTAATAATAAATGATGATATTAGTCTGTGGGGATCATTTTACATGTTATGTCATATGGGTTCTTTGGAGCTGTAATTAGAACTTAAATAGTTCAGGCTTTAATTTTGTTGTCAACATGAAGTGTTGAGTAGAGCTCAGTAGGGGAGATTGATATTTACATATATGTATATATTTATATACACTCACACACATATATGTGTGTGTGTGTGTGTATGTATGCATATGTATTTGACTCCCCATCTTCTGCTTGGTTTCTCAATCTCAAAACCAATTCTCCACTTGGTTTTTGGGAGGCCCAATTTGGGCTTAAAATAAATTGTGCTTTACACGTGGACGTAAACCGCATGTAGCTTTACAGGCTGAAAAACTCCAGATGCTGGTGAGTAACGGCAGTGGGAGCGACCATCCCAAATCTTAAACCAGGCAGCTCTCTATATGTTGCTACTCCTTATGGCTTGCTGCCCACGCTGCACTCTGCAAAGGCTCCCGGAGCTGGGGATGGTGTCGCAGTTTACACAGAGCTTGTGGCACTGTCGGAATCCGGCTCTTTCTTCGGATCATGTTTGGACCCGGCGCCTTGGAAGCACCTCTGTGAGCTAGGTTGACCTCTGGCTGGTCTAGCAGGTCCGACGGAGGCTGAAGATGTTTTCACAAACAGAGGCTGTCTTGGAATTCCTGTTCTTTCCCTTGGCTGTCAGACTGACCAGTGTGTATTTGTTGAAGCTCTTTGCAAACACGCTAATACTACTTGATGCAGCTGACTGCAGTAAAATACAGAGGCGTTTTTGTCAAAACAACAAAATGACATTTTGGGAAAAAAAAAAAATGACATTTCAGTTTGTCTCCACTTCATTGGAGACATTGGCCTCTTAATTGGTGTGAAACTGTGTAGGTCTGGTGAAATCAGAAGAATGGCTGTTAGGGAGACTTACCATGCCTGATTTTTTGGTACTGTCAGTGTAGTGGAGATGCCACAGCCATGGCCACATCAGTATTTTTTGGTGGGGGGACTCTGCCATGCACAGGGGCCACTCTACAAAACGTGCCTGGGAGGTTCCATAAAGGCCACGGACCAATTCAGTAAGACCTAGCATTAGAGGACAAGTACTGAGCACTGGCTTCTCAGGATGCCTCCGGTCACCATGGTACAATCTGCATGGAGAAGGTAGAAATCCCATGGCTCCCATTTCTTTTTATCAGCATGTGGGTTCAAAGGACAAAGTAACCAGTCAATTTACTATTCCAAAGGGTGTTTAAAGATGGCTTTTTGGCGGGTGAGATTACAAACCAGCAAACTGTGCAGAGAAAGAGTTGCTCTAAACAGAGCCCAGTACCTTCAAGCAAACATGACTGTAGACACGCACACACATGTATGCGTACATATACATATACCTTAAGGTCAACATTTGAAGAGCTTTTTACCCCGAGCCCAAATCTGATGCTGCTTATAGAAATGAAATTACATGTTTATCTAAGCCATTGAGATGTAGTCCCAGTTGATCCAGCGTGAGCACAACTAATCCTTTCACTGATGTTCAGCTTCTGCCAGTGCAGTCAATGGACTGATTGTGCGGCGCGAAGCGCACAAACACAGCAGTGTTTCATGTCGTACATCTCGCCACTTCCTGACCCTGTCTCCCGCACACTGCCTTCTTGCAGTCCTCTAGCCAGCTCTGTGGAAGAGGCAGAAATGCCCAGATTAATGTCCCTGCTTTGACAAGCTCCTTTACCTTGCAGGAGGCCAACTTTTATAGCGCATCCATAGGAAGCGTCCCCGCTACAGCCTTGCACCACGCAGGAGACAGACTGAAGATGTAGGCAGCTGGCAAATGTGAAAGCAATGAAGAGGTGTTCGGAGGCTGATGGTGTTTTTCCTAGTACTTGCATTTTCAGGGAAGGGCATGGAAAGGAAGATAAACAAGAGATGATTGTGGCAGGCCGAGAAGCAGCTGTAGCTGGCCAAAATGCTCCAAAGAGAAGAGCAGTGAAAAAAGGTAAGGGCACGAACTCCATCCTTTCTGTTTCCCTGCTGTTTGAGTATTTTCTTCTTTGTCAACAGTTCTCCCTCTGAAAGCGCTGACATTTTCTGGAGAATCCTATAAATACTGTAATAGCTTTTCAGCATTACTTTGAGGAAAATACAGCTCTATTTTTACAGCGCTCTCTAGCCCCCTCAATTCATCCGCTGAACTGTTTTCTCTAGCAGCTCTGCAGACTGATAAAATCTGGATAGCAGTTAAAAGTTTGGGAATATCGCTGGATAATTACTGCATTTGGATTAATAGCCCAGCAGTATCATAGTGGGGGGGGGAAGGGAATTCATGTAGAAATCATTAAGAGGTGTCACGGATGACCAAAGGTTTTGATGCAAGACAGAAATCATTCACAGAAGCGTGCACTTTCTTCAGGAAACTGTTTTTACTTAAGGGTCCACCAGAAAGGATATGTGACTAACAAGGCAGCAAATCTCTGGTGTCAGACCTGGTGTCATAAAGTCAAGTATACACCCAAAGCGGGGAGTGGAGAGGAGTTAATTCTGCTCATGTTTGATTTTAATGCCGCCGTGTCATACGGGTATCGAGGCTGCTACTCAGCCTTGGCCTGCATCTGCTGTCAGGCGTATAAATGATAAAATGCCTTTCTTGAGAGTTGGGCCAAAACTGAGTGGTTTTGAAAATCCCACTGGTAACATAATTGTTTTAACCCAGTTTATAGCTAGATTGATATTGATGTTCGGTCACCTGATTTTTCTTTCCTGTTTTTAAATACAGTCAAAGGAAGTCTTGCTGAAAAGTGATAATGTTCCCAGTTGTTTTAACTTCCTTTATTTTTTACGAAATACCCAAGCAAGTTTTCCCTAAGCCTTCTGTGTGGTCTTCATGCCTTGGCAGAGAACAGGCATGGAAAATAGTAGCAGAAGGTATCGGTGCAGGACTTGACAATGGAGCTGATCAGACAAAGAATAGGATCTTAGAAGGATAGTATACTGTGCAATGATCAAATCAGTGATGGAAACAAAGTTTTGGAGGAAGAATTGATCTAAATGCTGCTGAGGAATCCTACCCCTAGGTCTTTCCTTCTGATGGGAGCATCCAGTGGTCTGTGCCACGCTGAATTTTAGTTGTAAAGTCTAGCTCCAATAGCAGTTTCTAATTTCTTGATTTTCTGATTGCTGCTCAGGATCTGGGTTCATGTGCTCTAACGGGAGCACATTTGCTACCTGGTGTTTTGGAAAAACTTGCACAAAAATTGAAGTGCAGGTGGTAGCCATGAGATTGGCTCCCTTTAAAATTCAAGTGCCACATGATTTGGGGACTCCTGGAGAGCTGGCATTGCTCAGATGTGCTGAGTGCTTCAGCATCTGAGCAGAAATAACTGCTGATAACTTTCTTGTGTTTCTAAAGTGTGGCCCACGTTGAGGCTTGGGCAGGGTTTCCATTGGCAGCAGGCCTAATCATGTTGTTAACATTAAGCACATGAAAACAGGATTTCCTGCTCAAGGATCTTAGTATCTTTTTGGTCTTAGCAAGGCAGCAAGCACTTCACAGCTCTGAGATCTTCCCGAGTGGTCAACAAATGACAATAAACTTTTGGAATGCTCTCCAGGGCCTTGAACGGTCAAGTCCTTATGTGCCTGCGTGACTGTCCTTGTCTTTTGTTTTTCAGGTGTTTCGGCTCTACCAGCGGATCAAATGGCAGTGGTGCCATGAGGATGAGCCGGGCTCTGGTCCGTACTGCAGCTTGGAGTTCGGTCCCACCGGGTGGACACCAGAGAGAGCTCCATAAACAAGCAGAACCAGCACCTTCGATGCCAGGGTGGTCCAAATCCGGGGGCTTCCAAGGCACCGCACGGATGTAAGAACTGCCGCAGGTGTGGGCTTGCACTCTGCCTTTGGAGAGATGATGCTCCGGCGAGGATTTCTTGTATTTCTTTCCCGGCTTGCAGGTCTGCTCGTGGTTGCCTGTTGCTCTGTGTCCATTGTTTATATGCTGGCTTGCACGCCCAAGGGGGACGGCGAGCAGCTCGCCTTGCCCAGGGCCCACAGCCCCACCGGCAAGGACGGCTACGAAGCTGTTCTGCAGGAGCGAGAGGAGCAGCAGCGCGACTACATCGTCAGCTTGAAGAAGCAAATCGCCCAGCTGAAGGCTGAGCTCCAGAGCAGAAATGAGCAGCTCAAGAGCGTGCAGGAGCACTTACCGGGCTCGATGGGGGTCCAGCTGGACCACAGCAATCCAGCCCAAGTCCAGGCTAACCTGCTGGCTTTCCTCCACTCCCAAGTAGCCAAAGCGGAGGTGCACAGCGGCTTTAAGCTGTCCACGGAGTACGCAGTGGTGCCCTTCGAGAGCTTCACCCTGCAGAAGGTCTACCAGCTGGAGACGGGGCTCACGCGCCACCCCGAAGAGAAACCCGTGAGGAAGGACAAGCGCGAGGAGCTGGCGGAGGTCCTCGAGCTGGCCCTGGGCAGCCTGAACCGCGCGGAGGCCGACGGCAACGCGAGGCAGCGCCTCTTCACAGCCTCCGACTTCGTGGAAGGTTCGTTCGCAAGAGCACGTTAGGAGTGAGGGGCTCCTGTGTGGCTCTTGTGAGGGGCTCCTGCGTGGCCACAGGGCCCAGGGAGACGGCTTCAAGACCCCGTTGGGGTCTAACTAGTGCCGAGACTCACCAAGGTTCAGCTCCGGTGTTACCCTGCTCCCACCTGCGCTGCTTCAGCAGAGGGGCAAGGTAGTTTTGAGGACAGCAACTGCGGGGCTCGTAACTTAGCTGGCATCACCCGTAGCTTAAAATGAAACAGAACACAGGAACTTCGGGGGGAATTCTTGTGTTGGACGTAGCACACAATCTTTTAGCCCTTGGATACCAAAAAGAGCTTTGTCTTTAGCCACACATATAATATAGAGGCAAGAAGTGTGGATTTCCAAAGTGCTGTTTTTAATAGCTACAGCAGCCAGCTCTTAATTTATGTCGTCTGATACAGAATCTGAAATTGTGTGTTAAAGGCAACGGCAGCTTCACTCTTGCTTTGCAGATGGGAAAGTTGATGCAGTAGGAGGATGTTGTCCCTGGGCTTGATAGGCAGGGTGCTGAATTTGGAACAGTACCTGGGTCTGTGAAGCTTTTCTGGGGCAACAGAAAGGATTGTTGAGCTATTTTATTGGATTTCATATTGGAGAAATGTTTTAATGTGGCTTTCCACTTTGGCCAAAGCCTCTCTGCTGGTGTTGTCAGCCTCTCTGGAGACTCCCAACTACTCTGGAGTGAGTGCTGGGGCCACATTAAAGTATCTTCCCTGTCCAGCAGGAGTAAAAACTGCTGATCAAGGTACAAACAGATTCATTGCTCAGTATAATATAAGAAGGAGGAGGAGGGGACTTGGATTTTCTGTTTCGGTCTGCATTCCAAGTATGGATTGGACCCAGGGCTTGTTTGGATGACAACCTTGTGCAGATACCGCAGTCTGCATTAAAAGTTAGTAACAGGCTGGATTCCTTGGCTTGGTTCCTTGGGAGCTGCCCAGGGTAGCTGGAACTTTCTGGGAGAGGGGCCCAGCCTTCCCCAGAAAATAGTAGCACTTTACTTTTAGAAATAACAGCACCCAGATTCCATATGCATCCCGTAGGCTAGAAGTGCACGCTCACATCTTAAGGGAGGGATGTGGTGAGGTGAAAATCAGGTAGTTGGTGTCAAAGACAGGGTTAGAAACCCCAAGTGCTGCTCTTGGTTTGGCAGTCGTGTATCTTCGCTTCTGCCTGACTCAGAAGAGCTTTCAGTGCCTGCTTTGTTCCTGTTGCCTCAAGTGTGCTGCTGATCCTGGGTCTCACTTGTCTGCTGGGGTGATATCAGGCAGCCCTGTTTGCCTGGGGTTCCATGTGTTGTGTAGAGCATCTTTGCTCTGGTTTTTATCCCTATGGATCACGTCTGGTACCTGCCATCCCTTGGGTGGTGCCGTTTATACCAGTACTCAGGGAGAGGGTGCAGGACCGGGAAGCTAACGAGGGCCTGTTTCTCTTTCCCGTTTTGTGCCTTTCTCCTCGTCTTTGTAAAAGGAAAATATTCCTTCAACCCCTTTTTACACCTCGGGAGAAATGGTTTGTCTGTGTGGCTCTTAAAATAAGCGTCGCATCCTCTGCGGTTTCCAGCCGGAGCCACTTGCGCGTGGGAATCACACTGTGACCCCAGCACCTTCTCTGAGCACAACTCCCTCTCAGCAGCTTTGCTGCTACACGAAATTTGGACAGCATTCCCAGACAGCTCTCCTTCCAGGAGTAAGAGCTGACGCGCGGCGGAATTTTCCATTTTTCCCTTGTTCCAAACGGAGGGAACCACACCTTCTCCCCGGGGCCCCAGATGATCCATCTGGCTGCGGCTCTGCCTTCGGCCTCGCCCTTCACAGGGCTGTCCAGCTGCTAGAGCCCCCTGCTCTGCTCCCGTGCTCCTCCCACTCCTGCATCGAGCTTGTTGGGTCTCTGCCCCACGCAGTTACTGAGGGAGAGCGTGGAAAAGACCGGGAATCTCTCTATGTTATAAGGAGGCTTCAGGACCACTCTGTTTGCAGTCGAAGGCCGGTTGCTCGGGGCTGCTCATTAACTTGTATATGTGCAAGCAGAGATCCTTATGTTACCATCATTAGAGAAGCATCGAAAAGGTGCATTTTGGTGCTGCTTGCTAAACGGTATCAAATTGCTTCATTTGCTTTGGCTCTTTGCTGTGGGGAGCAGTGTCTGTCTGCCGTGTCAAACATACAAAGCACACCTTGAAATTGGTCTTCGGGGAAAATGCAGGTTCGATTCAATTTAAATCTGTGTTTAGCTTCTTATCAAGCTCCCCAGTAGCAGCCCCCTCAAGCAGGGCCTGGGTCAGTGATCACACCCAGCAAAATACTCCGATCATCAACAACCTTTCCCTGTGAACAAGGGAGTAAGGAGAACCCAAAGGCACCGATTTCTATTTTTTAATCATCAAGAGGAGGAAAATCCAGGGGCTCTTAAGCCACCGGATGATCTCAAGGGTGGGTTCAAGTTCAGAAATAGTTTGTGCTCTGCACCTTGGGCGGACTGTATAGAAGGAAATAATGGGGCAGTCAGAGATACAGTTTTAAAAGTTTAGTGGTGAAATAATGATGGAGCTGCTAACCAAAATGGCAGTTTCTCTTTGGAGCCACGTACTGGACTGGCAGATTGGGGCATTTGATGAATTAGCTTCTATTAAAAATAAAGCATGAAGGGAAGAACGGATAAGTAAATCTGTCTTGCAGAGAGCAGCCAAAGTGCTCATTAAAATACAAAACTTAGAGGAGATGAGGCAACCCGCAGGGTTCGTGCCAGGTGGAATGACACCTCGTGAATCTTGCAGGTCTTCTGAACATACCGGTGTTGCAGAGATTGAGGTGTCACCTGGAATGGGTAAAACCTGTGAGAGTGAGGCCAGTTACGTCTCGTGGACGGTCTCAGGGTTCTGTTTCGGTGGAGCACAGGCGCTTGGCACGTCAAAGCTGTGTCTTATGTCCCCCCGGGAGCCCGCCTTGACTTCAGAAACCCCTTCCCTCTGTGTCCTTGCAGGGATCTACCGCACGGAAAAGGACAAGGGCACGTTGTACGAGCTGACTTTCAAAGGAGACGCAAAGCACCAGTTCAAGAGGATTGTCCTGTTCCGGCCGTTCGGGCCTGTGATGCAAGTGAAAAATGAAAATGTCGATATGGGTGACACGCTTATTAATGTCATCGTCCCCTTGGCCAAGAGAGCCAGCAAATTTCGACAGTTCATGCAGAATTTCAGGTGGGCTTCCTTTCAAATGCTGCCTCTGCTTTCTCTTATTGGGACAGGGAGATGCAATGTGGGGATTTATTGAGACCTCACTCAGTAAAATTCCTCCTACTTTTGCCTAAAGTTTCGCTGCGCCACTAAGAAATCATTTTAAGATCAGAGCAACTGAAAGGCATTTGGCTTTTTAGCGCATGATGTTCAGCAGTAAAATCAGTTTTACTGCAGTCCCTTGGGGGTGTCTTTTTTGCATGGACGTGGTTTATGTCTCTCCATTTGTTTTTTAGGAGTACTTTCAGCTGGATGGTTTCGTGCCAGTAGCTGCAGAGGAACATTTCTAGGGGAGAAAAAGGGAATTAGTCCTGCCAGATATGTTGCCAGAGCAAAGATGATATCCACAAAGATATCCACTTTTACAAAGGATTGTTTTGCCTAACCTCAGTTATCTAAGAATAGGCCTCTTGTCTGGATTAGCCACCTAAATGGCTTCTTTTAGGACGGAATAAATCACCCTCTAGTGTTGCTGATCTCTCTGCTGATCATAGATTAAATCTTTGTACAAATGTCTAGCATTCAGTCAGATTGATCCTGCCCTTAGGCTGTTGCATTGATCTCCAGCTGATAGTTAGGTTTTAGGAAACGCTCCTTTACACAATGCCAAATATCTGACCTCTAGAATATTTTGTTTTTAACCAGAAATCATTACTAAGAAGAGAAGTTTGAATGGCTTCTTTAAAATCCTCCTTCTCAAACTCTCTTAACTGCTAAGGGTAATTAATACATGCCTGATCTTCCAGAGCATTGGGCGGGCTGTTTTAATGAGGTCCTGTTAATATAACAAGTGCTGCTTAGACATTAATAAATTTGTGATCTGCCCTAAAGATCATTATAGCCTTCTGTCCCATCTGCTAGAGACAGTGAGTCCCTTTTTCTGCACAAGGGCTTCTTTCAGCAGCTCATGCCCTCAGGAACCTCCTCTGCCTTCCCCAGTTGGTTTTGTGTCCTGAAGAAAGCGAGCTTCTGCGAAAAGTCCTAAATCTGCCTTTGTTTTCTAGGGAAATGGGCATTCAGCAGGATGGCAGAATTCACCTCACCGTAGTTTACTTTGGAAAAGAGCAAATGAACGAAGTCAAATCGATACTCGAAAACACCTCCAAGTGAGTGTCTGAATATCTGACCATTCATACACAGTGTTCACACCATGATGTAGAGGACTAGGTATTTTATACCTAGTAATTATATATATATGCATATATATATAGGACTAGGTATTTTTTCTTAGGTATTTTTTATTTCTTAGAAGTGCCAGAAAGTTCTTCACTTCACTGGAGAAGCTAGAATCCCCTCCTGCACCTTTGATTTTGTGGTGTTAGTCTCCAGCATCACAAAGAGATTTTACTGAATTTACTCTAGTTCAGTGAGTTCCAGCTTTGCAATTGTGTTCTATTTTACTTTTTCTAGCTTAGGTCTAGCACTTGCTATGACAGGTGTTAAAACATTAGGACATAAAGCATTTTTTTGCCTTTTCTTTGCATGTTAAAATGGGTACCCGGTTGCTCTCTTCTTGCACAGTGAATATTTCCTCAAAGCAATTTAAAAGGTAGTTTTATAAGTACCAGTTTTGCCATCTTGAAGGCTTTGAGAATCACAAAAATACACCTTCTTTTCATTTGCAAAAACAAATGTCACTTGGTAAATAGAATATTGTGCTAAAAAAACAACAACAGCTCTTAAATTGAGTCTCCTGGGCTTTTCCTTTCCTTAGATCAGCCAACTTCAAGAACTTCACCTTCATCCAGCTGAATGAAGAATTTTCAAGAGGAAAAGGATTAGACGTGGGTGCTCGAGTCTGGAAAGGACACAACGTTGTTCTCTTTTTTTGTGATGTGGACATATACTTCACAGCTGAATTCCTCAACTCCTGTAGACTGAACACACAGCCAGGTACTGCAGCTTAAAAAAGGGTAGTGTTTTTTTCCAGCAGATTTTTAGTTACTGTGTAATAGCCCTCACCAGAGTGTTCTTGACTTTGAATTGATAATGAAGCTGCTGCAAATCATTCCTAAAATGCAGGGGATTAATTAAGGCATTATAGAAGTTCTATTTGTGGTTGCCTTTGGAAAGGTTTAGCTCCTCTGCTTCGCCTGGGATGGGGTTCTTCTCATACGAGGAATATAGGCTCGGTCAATACCTTGTGTGGCCTCATCGGGGTTTGATCCAGCATCTTACAGGAGAGGGAAGTGTGTTTTATACAGCTTTCTTAAAAAATGGATCTGTTGTCATTTTTAGGCAAGAAAGTGTTTTATCCTGTTCTCTTCAGCCAGTATAACCCCAGTATCATTTATGGCCACCACGATTCCATCCCGCCCTTAGAACAGCAGCTGGTAAGTACCTGTTCCTTCCCACACCTGCTTTTCCCTAGACAAGGCTTTCATTTTGGAAGGATGTGCACGCTCCAGGGTGGTGCACACCCTGTTCCTGTGCAAAGTGATGTCCTGCATGATAAAAGAAACCGCCGCAGTCGTCTCACAGCTCGAGGTGGCAGGTCCAGGTGAATCCCAGCAGCTGCTCGGCAGCTTCTCCGTCCTCTTACGCTCTGGCACTGCACTATGGAGACACTAAAGGAGTGCTAGGAGTGGTGTCTTTATGTATACAGCCAACCCGTCCTAAAATCCAGCCAGCCAAGCTACCCTAAAGTCAACCATCCTGTCTCCAGAGTATCCCAGCCTCGCTGACTGTTCTCAGTAGCTTCTTTTTCCAATGACAATCCTTCAGAGATGCTCAGGCTTGCACTTAGAAAAGGAAATAGAGTTTAGTTCTCAAGCCAGCACAAACTGCACAGAATCTGTTGTCGGAATTATGCAAATATTTATAGCAAGTGTTTGAGTTGTAAAATGAGATGCTCACGGCAAAAAGCTTCTCAATTTAAAGTACTGCCAGTTTTATTTTATGTATTTTTTCATATCTTTGTCCCATGCGAGTTCCTGGGCGTAAGGCCAGGTCTATGCCATTAAAACAAGACCGGCTTAGCTGTCTGCATCCCAGCTTGCGGAAAAAGGAACCTTCAGAAAGCTTTGAAAGCCATTGATTTGTGCAGCAGCCACTTGCACTAATGGGAAATAATAATGCTGATGCATACAAATAGCTTGGCGTAACGGCATCGTGAGGAAGATTTCCTGTTACAGTGCAGACCTGGTGGGTACAGTCATGTTTCCTCTTAATTGGCTTCTGCGCTGGTTGGAGTTCTTCAAGGAAAGGAGAAATGAGAAAAGACAGGGAGAGCAATCGGAACAGAAAAATAAAAAAGCCCCCAAAATGACAAGGTTTATCAGCAAAAAGGAGAAATGTGACAGAGAAATGGGGAGAGAGGATGTCGAGAGGAATTGTACTTCATCTGGAATAAGATGTTTTGATTAAAGAAATGCTGGGATTTGTACATTCAGAAATGGAAGCCCTGTCTCATCTTCTCCTATAATTTTGTGGCAAGTGAAGGCAAAATTTTCCAAAATAGCTCAAGAGTCATTGCATAAGCAGGAGTGTGCAGTATTGCTGCGCTGCTTGTAGGATTCAATGTCTCCTCCAATCTCTTGCAACTCTTGGGGGTTTCAGCACGTTGGGTTACATCGCTCACACAGCTGAATGATGACCTTGGGATCCAACCTTGGGGATCTGCTTTTGGACGTGCCAGCCATGGTGTCTCTCGCTGCTCTCATTTGCTCCCTAGAATAATACATAACGTTTCCATAGTCCATCTCCATAGTGTAGACTGCAAATTCATGGTGACAGAGGCTTTCGTGGGGTATATAATCCCCACCTGACATTTCCGGACTCCAGTTGAGGTTGAATTTCCTTTTTTCCTTTGGCGGTAATTCTGTAATGGAAAATGATTTTTGCCACTTTCCTAATTTTTGTCAAAATTTTGGAGATCAAAAAGCTGTCAGTTGCGTGATCAGATTAGAACTGCTATTTTCTTTCTGTGGTGGTCCAGAATGTAGATGCCACCATCTGCTCTGCAGCACAGTCTGCCTTCCTTGACTTACCAGTACGTTTTCTATGTCAGCTTTGAATCGTGCAGAAACAGACTTAATTTAGAAGGAAATTTTGCCTGTGAAAAGGGAAAGCTCCAGGGATTGAGGCGCTATTGCTGTACTCAGTCTACAGCAGCACTTGTTTCAAGGAGTGAAGTAAAACCTGGTCATTCCAGATGAAGGGTTTTACCCCCAGTGGCTAAAGGCAATGGTAGTATTTTGGGCAGGAGTATGTGATGAGCATCTACAGGAACTGGATCAGGTCCAGCGGTGGATTTATGTACAGGAGGATAAAATGTAATACAATAAAATGCTCTTATTTCCACTCCCAAGAGTTTATTTTTCTCTTGCTTAGACTGAGAGCGTTTGTGCTCCCTATAAATGACCGTTTTCCCCACGCAGATTATTAAAAAAGAAACTGGATTTTGGAGAGACTTCGGGTTTGGGATGACCTGCCAGTACAGATCTGATTTTATCAACATAGGTAAGAAAAAATACATTGAAGTATATCGTCCTTTGTATTGAACCATAACAAAATGTGATCAGCTTCCCTCCGAGGGGGCACTGAAAGGAACTTTATGTCCCTCTTTAGCAGCAGTGCTCTGGCTACACGTTCAGACTATTCCCAGGTGCCATAGGGGCTGCCGAAAACTAAGCCCCGCTCTCTACAAATAGAGCAATTTTGCATGATGGTAAAAGATTTTATTTAAGTGAAGAATTTGGACGCTTTACGATGTTGCCAGGAACTGGGGCTCCTTGAAAGAGCCAACTGGACCCACAAAACACAGCAGTATCGAGTTTGCGAGTGCAAAGCGTGCATTTCCGATGTCTTTTTGGGTTTTCTTTGTGCCAGGTGGCTTTGATCTGGACATTAAAGGCTGGGGCGGAGAAGACGTGCACCTGTACCGCAAATACCTGCACAGCAACCTCGTCGTGGTGCGAACGCCCGTCAGGGGCCTCTTCCACCTGTGGCACGAGAAGCGGTGCCCGGATGAGCTGACCCCGGAGCAGTACAGGATGTGCATGCAGTCCAAGGCCATGAACGAGGCTTCTCACGGCCAGCTGGGGATGCTGGTTTTCAGGCAAGAGATTGAGACCCACCTCCACAGGCAGAAGCTGAGCAGTAAAAAGACTTGATGCCCGAAAGACAAAAAGCCTCCAAACGGGCTTCGGGGTGTTGTGGAAAAGAGCTGCTACCAAGAGTAAGACTGAAGGAGGAGGAAGCTGCCAGCCAGCGGACAGCAAAGGAAAATAAGGGGAATTGTTGGTGTTCTGGGTTTTCTTAGCAGGGGTTTGAAGTAATCCATTAGCCTGCCGCTCCAGCAGCTGCCGCTTCCACTGGGAAAAGCTGATGAGACCCAAGGTTACGCAGGCTGCGGAAGCTGGGGATGTTGCATAAATGCCAGCGTGATGCACGTGGGAATGAGCGGATGCGCTCGGCTCTCTTGGAACGTGCACAAGAGGCAGCTGCTTAAGGGACTGACCTTCCAGAGGGCTGGTTATGAGGAGTTGGTTTCTTATGTCTGATATATTGAAAAAGGGCTACTTTCCAGGGAGCACAGAGCTCCTGCTTGGAGAAGCAGAGGTAAACTGGAGTGACCAAAACGCTTTTTCCTTAAGGACTTTCCTAAAAGTTACTCCTAAAAGTTATTCTCGGTTCCTTCGGAGACAAGAGGCATCTCAGGAAGTGCTTTCTGACCGTCAGCAAGAAGCAGGACTGAGCAGCCACGTGTCACCTCCCAGAAAACAGAGGGTAGTTCATTCTGTGCTGGGGACAGTGAACCCAAAGCAATGAGCCGTGGCTCTAGGGACTCCATAATGATGCTGCGTGGTTTTTTACTTTAGAATACTGGAAGTATCTTGGGATTGATTTTAAATTAAGTTTGTTTTGTTCAGGAGTTACTTTGTCCTATTCAGGTTTTTTACTTCTGGCCTTATAAGGAAACAACGCAGGCTTCCAATATTTGGAAAATGAGCTGCCAATCTGTTGTTTGTCCCATGGATAGGAACTTGGTTTGGAGAAATCCAGTGGTTTTTCTGCAGAACTGAAGTGCTGCGAGGAAGAAGCTTTACTGTTCTGAAGAAATGGGAGTATATTTCAACTTGCAGCACTAATTTAGCAGGAGACTTTAAACTGAATGCCAGATACCAAATGAATGAACATTTTGTGACGTTATACCAAAGCATTTCTTCTCAACCAAATCTCGAGTTTTTCCCCAGGGCTTAGGAAGTTTTCTTAGTTAACAAAATAAATGACTTTCTGTGATTGATTCCTGGACCATGCAAATGCCCTTATGATAATTCTAGGCTCATCCTAGAAGTTACTCTCCTTTTTAGTAGATTTTTTCAAACTGTTGAAAACATGAGTTATTGTTATTATAAAGCATTTTCTCTTGAAATGTTGACTGCTGTTTATCATTTTGATATTTACTAGCCAAGAAAAAAAGAAAAGCATGGACTTGGCAATCCTGTTTCCTTACCTAAAATGCTGTTTTTCTCAGCAGTCAGTTTGTTTTATAGCTGCAGGTTAACTTGAGGCAGTCTGAAATCTGGTGTTGATTTCTTTTGGGGAGGGGTTGTAAAAGCTGGGGGTAAGAAATATGCCAGATAGCACCGAACAAGGAATGAAATATAATTTACTGTGCCGCTGTGCAGTAGGGAGAGCGCTTATGAACCTCTTCAGAAAGCATTCTGTGCAGAAAACGGCTACTGTAAGTACCTCTTCCCTTGATATTTATTTAAAAGACATATCTAAATGTTCCAAAAGAACAGAAGGACCTTGAAGGTGTCTTGAGGACACCCGTTCTAGCAAGGATGCTGCCATTGCAGCCAGGGTCGGAGCATAAAGTGTGAGAAACTTGAGGTTTCCTCCTTCACAGCAGTTATGTGAAGCAAAGAGTCTTTCAGCACCGGGATTGGTTTCTTCAAATGCATGGGATGGGTGCTCTTCACTCAACAACAGGTACTAACTTTTCTCTAGAGATACAGATCGCTGAACAACCCTTTTCTTGGCTATGTTCATCCAAAGAGGGCAGTTCGGTAAGAGGGAAGAAGGGCTTTCCCCACCACCACAAATGGCTCCTGCCTGTGGTTGATGATGCAGATTATCTTGAAAATAGCTATTTGATACGTGGGATATCAAAGTGCTCCATAATTCATTTGCCCTGAGAGAGTGTTGTTACATTCCAAAGCTCCCTTTACGTCAGAGCTTTATCTCCAGCGAGTTAAACCTGCTGTAACTGGAGTGCAGATTTCAGCTTCCCCCCTTTGCATGGAAATGACTTACTAACACAGCTGTGAGTTTTAAGACCAGGTGATCACAAGACTTTCTTTTAATCTGTATGCTGCAGAATGCAGGTCAACACGCCCTCTGTGTCCTGTCTTGACTCTAAATCCTATTGCAGGCTAAAGGGACATCTTAGAAGGACTGGAATTTCAAGCAGTGGCAGAAGCATCCCCTTCAGACGGGTATTTCAGTGTATAGCCTCAGTTGTATATTTAAAGGCTAATCAAACAGATTACAAAGGGAGAGCATGAACACTGAAAGGAAAAAAGGTGAGTTAAAGCTCACACGTGACGCATCGCGGTGGTTCAGGCGCAATTTGCAATAAATAGCTTCATTTTGGAAAATAACATTCTTTACTGGCAAACACTGCTCTGTAAACTGAGCTAATACTGATAGAGGCGTTGCTTCTTAACGTGCTTAGACTCTGTACATTTGACTTGCAGACAAACTCCCACATCCTCTTCTTCAAAAGGTTGATCTCTGTCCATGCAGAAAGGCCAGTGTGGGATTAGATACAGTTAAACAAGTGTGGGACTGTATTCAGAGATTTAGAGGAGCTAAAGAAATGCATGTTTTGTGAAAATCCCCTTTCACGGGCGAGTTTCACTTAGAGTCACCAAGGATTTGTATATGTGTTTTGCTAAACACCTCTGATTCCAACAGCATCTTACATGCGTAAGCTTTACATGAAACAAGTCTACCTCCCAAGACTGATTCACCTCTCCAGGTTGTTTCATGCCTTTGGGAAGGTGAGATATTCCATTGTAGGTACCGGTCTCTCTCCCAGATGTCACACAAGAGGCAGTTTGAGCATAGTCACCCCGCAGGGACCCACAAAACCCCCTGGAAAATACGTGGCAGCACATCCCGTGTGAGCGATTGCCCAGTCCTCTACTGCACTCCGATGTGTGCATTCAATCTAGGACGTTTACAGCTTGCTGGGCCGCTGCATCCTTTGGTTCAGCTGGTAAGATGAGCCCACAACTGCTTTGCTAGGAAGGATTCAAAATAGAGGTGCTTATGGCAGCAATTGCAGGTGAGCGTGGGCAGCCCAACGTCAAGGCAGAGTCTCCATGAGAAGAGGCGTAGCGAGAGTGGAGGCTCATGCAAAGAGAGCCAGGTAATCGGGTTCTTCGTCCTCTTGGCCACACGGGTAAAGCAACAGCTCCTTCCCCAAAGAAGTGATGGGCTCCTCCTGTTGGCAGAGGATACAGTTAAAATATTGCCTGCAAAACAGGCTGCTGGGCCCCTGTCTGTCCCTAAATCCCTGGAATAGGCTGCAGTCTGGAGCTGGTGTTAGCCTGGGGCCCCGGTCATCTTGCTGCGTGGTGAAGCTCAGAGCCCACGGGCCTCGGGGGAAGATCCCCCTGCATGGAAGAGTGTCTGTGTGCATCCCGAGGTGCCTGAGCATCACCCTCCGGCTGTGGCGCCAGGGATGTTATCCTGGCATCGGGAATGCCAAAGGTAGATCCTGGAGGGGACAAGTGCCCCTCTCACATGAGCCCTGGTCAAGCCCAGGAGCTTCCTGTGGATATAACTCTGGCTTTAACGTAGACGTATCCATCCTGACCTCACACTGGCTGGGGCAGCGCGAGCCGACCAGCTCTTGCTTTCAAGAATTCAGCCCACGCTGGGAAGCAACATAAAGAAGCCACCTTTGCCTGTCATTACTTGCAATGTGGCGAGCTCAACCTCGCATCTTGCCTGTTTTGAAACTATTAAGATACCTTGTTCTGTTATTCTAAAGCTGGACAGGGGTGATATTTTCTGCCTGTAGAACTTGCTGTGACAGCCAACAACAGAGAGATACCGAAAAGCAGTCTGAGTAATTCTGCCAGTGTCCCCTAATCAGCATTTGTATTAAGTAGCATGTGGTAACCTGAGCCCCATGTGCCAAGTGTTCTGCACACTTTGGAGAGAGTAGTGGAACGATTCCAGCTCCAAAATATTTGAGATGCCCTAAACATCCCCATAGGACAGCACATAAAATGTGGGACTTCTTACAGGGAGAGCTGCACCCTTCTAGAACAGTGCATGGGATACCCAACGGTAGCTAAAATAGCTTTTATGTGATGACATAAACATGATGACAACCGAATCTCTCCCTTTTTGTCTTAAAATGCCCTGAGGCAATTAGAAAAACAAATAGTTAATGAGCGTGTTACTAAAGATTCACCTTGTGGTATTCAACAAGGTCAGCCAGCGCTGAATGCTGTAGCTGGTCCACTCCAAGGAAGCTGTAGGAATCACCAGAGGCATCGATAAGGAAGTGCTTACATCCTTGCACGGACTGGTAGGAGAGCACGTATCCTTTGATTTTTTCACTCACACGGACCAGAAAGCTCCCAGGCATTGCCCTGCTCAGAAGGTCCTCTGCTTTCTTGGAGGTTAGGATACCTGTTCAAGACACAGAATCCGAGATATTCAGATATTTCCCCATCAGATGTGTTATTTGGGATTCGGGACATAGCGATTCAGTCTATTTTATGTCAAACTCAGATGTTTTGAACATCTGACCTCTGCTGTGCCTCTTGAGCTTGTCTGTTGCGGTAGTGCTAGAGGAATTTGAAGCACGTTCATATGGGCGGAAATGGTGAGGACTCACCGTGGAACCAGGGCGCGATGGTGTCCGTCGTTCTCTCATAGCCGGCTCGGAGAGGGAACTGCTCCTCCCTGAACCACTTAATGATGCTCTCTTCAGTAGAGTTGGACACTGTCCTCTGGATGCCCTCTTTCCTGCAGCGAAAAGACTGTGGTTGTGAATCTGTGAAGAAAAGTATCTGGAATCTCTGCAAGCGCAGTGCCATAGGGTTAGCTGGGTGGTTTGGGAAGGAGCTGCTACCAAGAAGAGCAGAGCCAAAGGAGCAGGACTCCTATCTAACTGGCACAGGAGGTCTGTATTGGTCTAGGCTCTGTGTTCTTCCACCAAAGTCCATTCTCTCCATGTGAAAAGGGCGAACATTTCTCACCTCCACCAGTCCCTGCGCTTCTGCCCTCACCTTCCTCGTGGTGTGCACGTTTCCTTACCTGATTGCCCTTCCATTCGCTGGGGCAGGAGGTAGAAGTGCGGGCTTGGGTGGGAGAGGCGGGTACCGGAGCCGCCTCTGCTCCCCTGCGCCCCTGGAAACCTCTGCCTGCTTCTCCCTGCGGATGCCCTGCAGCGAAAGCCTCCGGTAGTCGTCCCTGGCATGCTGGGCCAGCGAGCGCCTCTTCTCATCTGCTGCCTTGGATTTCCGCACTGAAACAACAAAAAAATAGTCCCATGTGAGTGAAAACTTTCCACCTTGCTGCCTTCCAGCCATCTCCCTGCTTGCTTTTATGGAAAGTGGAGAACTGGGCTGGGTAATTTTTTAATTGATGAAAAAATTCCTTGAATATCCAGGTTGATGAGTATGTGGTAGCTCGTCCTGGAGTCTGTAGGAGTTGCCAGCTCGGTTACCTAGTTGACCTGTCAGTTAGGCCAGTTGTTTCCTTCCTTTTGTAATCGGCCTAGGCTATTTTTATTAGGAAAAATAAAACCCCTGTCCTGAAGTGAAAGCAATCTGCAGTAGAGCATTGCCATCTACTGAGCAGCAAGGGAGGAACTGGGGAAGAAAGGCATTCAGATTTCCTTCAATGTTCTTTCTCCCCAGGAGGGGAAGATGCAAGGAGCAGAACCTGAATCTGGGTAGGAAAACAAAAGGCAGGCAAAATGTGAGGGCATTTCTCAATATTTTTTACAAGCTAAGTTTGTGATCTTTGTCCCAGCCTCTGTGGAAGCTGAGACAAGACTCCAGAAAAAGAATCAAGGAAAAAGACGTTTTTAGATTACACTATTTTTAAAATTGCCTTTAAAGTACTAGTTTCTCTGGGAGATGCTAGAAAGAAATGTGGAGTAACTTAAGTAGGAATTTCAGAAAGTTTCTGGCAGCAGTAACGGATGTTACAGGTATCTGCTGTCTGCCATGTTCTCTCCTGTCCTCTGGATTCATTACAGTCTATGTCCTGGCCCAACTCTAGTCTTGTGTTCTGATTATACAGAATTTTATTTCTTGGCAGTGCTGTCCACCCCCTGACTGAGTAT